CTGTGAGCAGGCAGCTGTGCTGTGAGCAGGCAGCTGTGCTGTGAGCAGGCAGCGCAGGCAGCTGTGCTGTGAGCAGGCAGCTGTGCTGTGAGCAGGCAGCGCAGGCAGCTGTGCTGTGAGCAGGCAGAGCAGGCAGCTGTGCTGTGAGCAGGCAGCTGTGCTGTGAGCAGGCAGAGCAGGCAGAGCAGGCAGAGCAGGCAGCTGTGCTGTGCGCAGGCAGAGCAGGCAGCTGTGCTGTGCGCAGGCAGAGCAGGCAGAGCAGGCAGCTGTGCTGTGAGCAGGCAGAGCAGGCAGCTGTGCTGTGCGCAGGCAGAGCAGGCAGCTGTGCTGTGAGCAGGCAGAGCAGGTAGCTGTGCTGTGAGCAGGCAGCTGTGCTGTGAGCAGGCAGCTGTGCTGTGAGCAGGCAGCTGTGCTGTGAGCAGGCAGAGCAGGCAGCTGTGCTGTGCGCAGGCAGAGCAGGCAGCTGTGCTGTGCGCAGGCAGAGCAGGCAGAGCAGGCAGCTGTGCTGTGCGCAGGCAGAGCAGGCAGAGCAGGCAGAGCAGGCAGCGCAGGCAGAGCAGGCAGAGCAGGCAGAGCAGGCAGCGCAGGCAGAGCAGGCAGCTGTGCTGTGCGCAGGCAGAGCAGGCAGCTGTGCTGTGAGCAGGCAGAGCAGGCAGCTGTGCTGTGAGCAGGCAGAGCAGGCAGCTGTGCTGTGAGCAGGCAGAGCAGGCAGCTGTGCTGTGAGCAGGTAGCTGTGCTGTGAGCAGGCAGCGCAGGCAGAGCAGGCAGAGCAGGTAGCTGTGCTGTGAGCAGGCCGCTGTGCTGTGAGCAGGCCGCTGTGCTGTGAGCAGGCAGCGCAGGCAGAGCAGGCAGAGCAGGTAGCTGTGCTGTGCTGTGCTGTGAGCAGGCCGCTGTGCTGTGAGCAGGCAGCGCAGGCAGAGCAGGCAGCTGTGCTGTGGGCAGGCAGGGGCCACCGGTAAGGCCAGCACATTCCATCAGGATTTGGGGAATTTGAACCTCCGAAGCTTAGGTCCAAGAAGTGTTCTTTGGAATGCCATCAGTGCCACACTCTAGTTCCCGGCCCAAAGAACTCAGCAGCCCATAAAGGGTTAGTGGGGGGCTGGAAAGGTGGCTCAGTGGTAGAGCACTTGCCTTGCATGCATGAGGCCCTGGGTTCGATTTCTCAGCACCACATAAGCAAAAAGAAAAAAGCCGGAAGTGGCGCTGTGGCTCAAGTGGTAGAGTGCTAGCCTTGAGCTGAAGAGCTGAGGGACAGTGCCCAGGCCCAGAGTTCAGGCCCCATGACCGGACCCAAAAAAAAAAAAAAGAGTGAGTGGGAAGCATCTAAAGTCAAAAACCACTCGAGGATTGGTATGAGGAACTAATCCTACAAAAGCAATCTAGTTAAAGGTTATCTGGAGGGAATGTCTGGGGCAATCAAGGGCAAGAATTCCCTGGAGCCAGTCTTTCCTGGAGCTTAAGGACCCTTGACAAACCTGTAGTTCTTGGAACTGGGTGAAGAGGCCCCGTCTATTAAGACTCCAAGGTGGTGGTGAGGACCAGATGGGCATCCGTATCTCAGAACCGAATGGCTGGCTGTGCTGTGTGCCCTCTCCCCAGGGTGGGTGGAGCCTGTCGGCGGATCGAGTGCCTGCTTTATGTGCTATTTATTTTTCATGCCCATTGGGGCTGGAGCTCAGAGCCTCATTCTCTTGCTTCGCTATATCGGCTCTAGACTGATGCTTGAGCCATATCTCCATTTCAGGCATTTTCCTGGTTAATTGGAGACCAGAGTCTCTCAGATGAGCTGTCTGGGCTGGCTGCAGACCTCAGATCCTGGCTGGGGGAGAGAGGGGTGTAAGGTATATTAAATACCACTTATGTTAGGTTTATAAAAAGAGGTTGCCAAGTAAGAACAGCACCACGCATGTGGTATTCAGGTAAGGGGTAGGTTTATTCAGTAGCCCTGCTGGGACCAGGCCAGGTGGGCACTCCATGCGGCTGGCCCTGGGTTAGGCCTTAAACAGGAAAAGGTGTGGCCAGGTCGGGGAAAGGTGTGGCCACACTGGATCTGGACATGACCTCAGGGTCTGGGACCCTCCTAAGGTCAGATGGGAGGCATGTGACCAGAAGTGGCCCAGGATGTGACCTAGCAGGAGGGGAAGGTGACTGCTTCCAGGTCTGCCAGTTACCTAGGTAACAGATCTGGGCGGGAGCTTAGCCAGGAGGGAGGGATGTCCCTGTGCAGACCTGGGGGGGGGGGGGGTTGTTTTGTTTTTGACATTGTCCACTTTAGCATCAGGAAAACTCATCTGTTAGTGGGACCTGAGCCCCTTCAGGTGTACACACCCCATTCAAGGTGTACAAATTTAAAGTCAAAACAGACTGAAGAACGACTTTCCTGGGGCTGGGGGTGTGGCTCTAGAGGTTGAACATTTCCTGGCTAGGGTGAAGCCTGAAGTTCAACCCCCAGCTCCTGCCCCCAGCCCAGCTCTGCAGGGTTTGGTGGGCCTGTGCCAGGGGACCCACTGCCCGTGTTGCCTCAGGCATTTCTGGACTTGTCTCTGACTTCTGCTGGCATTCCTGGGTTTGTCGGGACGAATGAGCTCTTGAGTTGACACTGAAGGGGTTCTGCTGAGGAAAGAGTTGTGGAGGAAGGGGCAGCTCAGGCTTCTTCCTCCGGCAGACCTGGCACGTGCCTTGGGTCCTGGAGCTCACTTCCCAGAACGCCCCGTGCTAGCTGTGCAGCTGAGCAGGCACTGCTGTCCTGTGGCAGATGGACATCCAGGCCTGTGCCCGGGGCCTGTGGGGCTAGAACCTTTGCCCACTTGCAGCCAGAAAGGAACTGGAAGCCGCCTCGCCCTCCGTGGTGCCTCTGCTTGCCAAGCTGTTTCTGATCTGCCCTGCCCTACCCCGCCTCCCTGCTTCCTGCACTCCCCCAACTCTGCCCCACAGCGGTGCCTGCCTTCTCTGTTCTTGCCAGAGAGAGCACAGCCCTCTCCCAAGGTTGCGGTGCTGAGGCCTAAGTCTCTAGAGATGTGACACCCAGTACCATTTGGTGGAACCAGGGGACCATGGGGAAGGTGTGCTGTGATCTGCCCTAGTTTGAGTTCCCAGAATCAAACACCTTTCCCATGGGGGTTAACTGAAGCAGGGAAGTCCGAGCTAGTATCTTCTGTGTCTTTGGGTGAGGATCTCCTGTGTCTCTGGCTAGGGTCCCCTGTGTCTCTGGCTAGGATCTCTTGTGTCTCTGGCTAGGATCTCCTGTGTCTCTGCGCTAGGATCTCCTGTGTCTCTGAACTAGGATCTCCTGTGTCTGTCTCTGGACTAGGATCTCCTGTGTCTCTGGGCTAGGATCTCCTGTGTCTCTGGGCTAGGATCTCCTGTGTCTCTGGCTAGGATCTCCTGTGTCTCTGGCTAGGGTCCCCTGTGTCTCTGGACTAAGATCTCCTGTGTCTCTGGACTAGGATCTCCTGTGTCTCTGGGCTAGGATCTCCTGTGTCTCTGAACTAGGATCTCCTGTGTCTCTGAGCTAGGATCTCCTGTGTCTGTCTCTGGACTAGGATCTCCTGTGTCTCTGGGCTAGGATCTCCTGTGTCTCTGGGCTAGGATCTCCTGTGTCTCTGGCTAGGATCTCCTGTGTCTCTGGCTAGGGTCCCCTGTGTCTCTGGACTAAGATCTCCTGTGTCTCTGGACTAAGATCTCCTGTGTCTCTGGGCTAGGATCTCCTGTGTCTCTGAACTAGGATCTCCTGTGTCTGTCTCTGGACTAGGATCTCCTGTGTCTCTGGGTTAGGATCTCCTGTGTCTCTGGGCTAGGATCTCCTGTGTCTCTGGCTAGGATCTCCTGTGTCTCTGGACTAGGATCTCCTGTGTCTCTGGGCTAGGATCTCCTGTGTCTCTGGGCTAGGATCTCCTGTGTCTCTGGCTAGGATCTCCTGTGTCTCTGGCTAGGGTCCCCTGTGTCTCTGGACTAAGATCTCCTGTGTCTCTGGACTAAGATCTCCTGTGTCTCTGGGCTAGGATCTCCTGTGTCTCTGAGCTAGGATCTCCTGTGCCTCTGAGCTAGGATCTCCTGTGTCTCTGGGCTAGGATCTCCTGTGTCTCTGGACTAGGATCTCCTGTGTCTCCAGGGAGAAAAACAGAGACTCCTTTCTGTATCCTTCCAGAATCAGTGAGGGAGCAGAGGACTAGTGGTGCAGCGGTGCAGCAGTGAGGAGCAGAGGGCTAGCGGTGCAGTTATGCAGCAGTGAGGAGCAGAGGGCTAGCAGTGCAGCAGTGAGGAGCAGAGGGCTAGCGGTGCAGCAGTGAGGAGCAGAGGGCTAGCGGTGCAGCAGTGAGGAGCAGAGGGCTAGCGGTGCAGCAGTGAGGAGCAGAGGGCTAGCGGTGCAGCAGTGAGGAGCAGAGGGCTAGCGGTGCAGCAGTGAGGAGCAGAGGGCTAGCGGTGCAGCAGTGAGGAGCAGAGGGCTAGCGGTGCAGTTATGCAGCAGTGAGGAGCAGAGGGCTAGCTGCAGTTATGCAGCAGTGAGGAGCAGAGGGCTAGCGGTGCAGTTATGCAGCACTGAGGAGCAGAGGGCTAGCGGTGCAGCGGTGAGGAGCAGAGGGCTAGCAGTGCAGCAGTGAGGAGCAGAGGGCTAGCGGTGCAGCAGTGAGGAGCAGAGGGCTAGCGGTGCAGCAGTGAGGAGCAGAGGGCTAGCGGTGCAGTTATGCAGCAGTGAGGAGCAGAGGGCTAGCGGTGCAGTTATGCAGCACTGAGGAGCAGAGGGCTAGCGGTGCAATTTGCATGAGAGACTTCCTTGGCCTGGGGTCCCAGTTGGGCAGGTGAGGGTAGGACTTCTTCATTTTAAAACAAATTGTGCATATTCTGGGATGCACCATTGCCTTTTTAGCATGGATGGGTGAGCAGGAGAGTGCATTAGCACACAAGCATTCTGAGCTGGGATCACAGGTGTGGGTCGGCCCAGCCCGGTGCCTGCCCTACATAACTTTCCTCTAAAATTGCCCCAAATCTGTTTCCCCCAGGAGATGGGAATCCCAGGGAGATCAGCCCGTTCATCAACAATGTGGAGATGGAGAGAGAAAGCTACTTTGAAGGGAAGAACATGGCCCTGTTTGAGGTAATTTTATTTTACTTTCTCTCAGAGGAAAGGGCAGGGCAGTGACTTTCCTGGGGAAAAATCAAGACTCCTTGGCTAGATGGTCCCTGGAGTGATGGGAGCCTGTCTGCCTGGCCTTGGAGGACTGGGTCCAAGGGCTGCCGGGCACGGCCCTGACGAGGAGGGGTCCAAGGACCGCAGGGCATGTGGTCTGATTCACCTGGCACCTCAGGGTCCTGTTCCACAGGCCCCCGAAGGTGGGGATGCTTCAGCTTTGTGGGCCCCCGTGGCCTGGCACTCGCACCCCTGACTCCAGACTGGCCACACGCGTGTGGGGGGCCTCGGCTCAGCGCCACGCTGGCCCTCGTGCCGGGGAGGGCGGGCTGGCAGCGATCTGCCGAGGGCCTGCTGAGACTGACTCTGTGCACACAGGAGGAGATGGACAGCAACCCCATGGTGTCCTCACTGTTGAACAAGCTGGCCACCTACACCAACCTGAGCCAGGGCGTCGTGGAGCACGAGGAGGATGAGGACAGCCGGCGCCGGGAGGCCAAGGTACCGCCACGCCACCCTGTGCGCTCTCCACTCTGCCACGCGTGTTCCCGTGTGCTCTCCACTCTGCCGCGCCGCCCTGTGCGCTCTCCACTCTGCCACGCGTGTTCCCGTGTGCTCTCCACTCTGCCACGCGTGTTCCCGTGTGCTCTCCACTCTGCCACGCGTGTTCCCGTGTGCTCTCCACTCTGCCACGCGTGTTCCCGTGTGCTCTCCACTCTGCCACGCCGCCCTGTACGCTCTCCACTCTGCCGCGCCACCCTGTGCGCTCTCCACTCTGCCAGGCTGTCCTGTGCGCTCTCCACTCTGCCAGGCTGTCCTGTGCACTCTCCACTCTGCCAGGCTGTCCTGTGCGCTCTCCACTCCATCACGCGTGTTCCCGTGTGCTCTCCACTCTGCCAGGCTGTCCTGTGCGCTCTCCACTCTGCCAGGCTGTCCTGTGCGCTCTCCACTCTGCCAGGCTGTCCTGTGCACTCTCCACTCTGCCACGCGTGTTCCTGTGCGCTCTCCACTCTGCCAGGCCGCCCTGTGCGCTCTCCACTCTGCCAGGCTGTCCTGTGCACTCTCCACTCCACGCGTGTTCCCGTGCGCTCTCCACTCCGTCACGCGTGTTCCTGTGCGCTCTCCATCTGTCACGCATGTCCCCGTGCGCTCTCCACTCCATCACGCGTGTTCCTGTGCGCTCTCCATCTGTCACGCATGTTCCTGTGCGCTCTCCACTCCGTCACGTGTGTTCCCGTGCGCTCTCCATCCGTCACGCATGTTCCCGTGCGCTCTCCACTCCGTCACGTGTGTTCCCGTGCGCTCTCCATCCGTCACGCATGTTCCCGTGTGCTCTCCACTCCGTCACGCGTGTTCCTGTGCGCTCTCCATCTGTCACGCATGTTCCCGTGCGCTCTCCACTCCGTCACACGTGTTCCCGTGCGCTCTCCACTCTGTCATGCGTGTTCCCGTGCGCTCTCCATCCGTCACGCGTGTTCCCGTGCGCTCTCCACTCCGTCACGCGTGTTCCCGTGCGCTCTCCACTCCGTCACGTGTGTTCCCGTGCGCTCTCCACTCCGTCACGCGTGTTCCCGTGTGCTCTCCACTCTGTCACACATGTTCCAGTGTGCTCTCCATCTGTCACGCATGTTCCCGTACGCTCTCCACTCTGCCACGCGTGTTCCTGTGCGCTCTCCACTCTGTCACGCATGTTCCCGTCCACTCTCCATTCTGCCACGCATGTTCCCGCGCGCTCTCCACTCCGTCACGCGTGTTCCCGTGCGCTCTCCACTCCGTCACGCATGTTCCTGTGCGCTCTCCACTCCGCCACGCGTGTTCCCGTGCGCTCTCCACTCCGTCACGCATGTTCCTGTGCGCTCTCCACTCTGTCACGCGTGTTCCTGTGCACTCTCCACTCTGCCACGCGTGTTCCCGTGTGCTGTGCGCTCTCCACTCCGTCACGCATGTTCCCGTGCGCTCTCCACTCCGTCACGCGTGTTCCTGTGCGCTCTCCATCTGTCACGCATGTTCCCATGCGCTCTCCACTCCGTCACGTGTGTTCCTGTGCGCTCTCCATCTGTCACGCATGTTCCCGTGCGCTCTCCACTCCGTCACGCGTGTTCCCGTGCGCTCTCCACTCCGTCACGCATGTTCCTGTGCGCTCTCCACTCTGTCACACGTGTTCCTGTGCACTCTCCACTCTGCCACGCGTGTTCCCGTGTGCTGTGCGCTCTCCACTCCGTCACACATGTTCCTGTGCGCTCTCCACTCTGTCACGCGTGTTCCTGTGCACTCTCCACTCTGCCACGCGTGTTCCCGTGTGCTGTGCGCTCTCCACTCCGTCACACATGTTCCCGTGGGCTCTCCACTCTGTCATGCGTGTTCCCGTGCGCTCTCCACTCTGTCATGCATGTTCCCGTGCGCTCTCCACTCCATCACGCGTGTTCCTGTGCGCTCTCCACTCCGTCACGCATGTTCCCGTGCACTCTCCACTCTGTCACGCGTGTTCCCGTGCGCTCTCCACTCTGTCATGCATGTTCCCGTGCGCTCTCCACTCCATCACGCGTGTTCCTGTGCGCTCTCCACTCCGCCACGCATCTTTCTGGGCCTGGGGATGCAGCCTGGCCTGAGGAGTATTTTCTGAGCAGTGAATTTGCAGGTTGTCAGCCCTCTTCGTCTCCCTGGGAGCTCTTCACTGTGTCCTGTGTCTCCAGATGACGTTCAGGTCTGGGTGCTGAGAAAGGAACCTGGGCTCTGGCCATCGGCTGACAGTGTCCCAGCCCCCTGCGTGGGAGTCAGCGGCTGTGGTAGCTCCAGGGGGTCAGGGCAGCCCTGGGCACCTGGGCCCGGTCCCTCGGGCCTGGGCAGCCACAGGAACCAGCCTTCCTGGATCTGCGCCTAACACTCCAGCTCTCACAGAGACTAGACAGGCCCCCTTTCCAGGTTATGAGGTGTTGGCAGGGTCACGTTTCCCTCCCCTGTTCTCCATGAGAGTCCGTGTTTCCACGTCCCCTGCACAAATGCACGTTTTGCTCAGCGGTGCTTAGCGGTGGTGGAGAGGAGCCCGATAATGTGCACTCTCAGCCAGCCTGGGAAGCCTCTGCTTCCTCTGGAGGACGAGATGTCTGATGTGTGGAGCAGAAAGAAGGGGTGGCTCTGCTCCCGGAGGCCTGCGCCTCCCTGCCGGTCTCATGGTGTCTCCCTCCGGTCCGCTCTGCCGTCTCCAGCTGCCCCTAGGTGCTGCTGTGGCAGTGTCCAGCCTGACGCTGGCTCTGTGCAGCCATCAGGACGTCAAGCTACCAAGTGGCTGACCCCTGCACGTTTTTACTGTGAACATAGCAGTTAGTGCTGTATGTTTGAGCTAGCAGTTTGAGCCAGTGGCTCACCCCTATAATTGAAGCTACTGAGGAGGCTGAGATCTGAGGATCGCAGTTCAAAGCCAGCCTGGGAAGGACAGTCCATGAGACTCTTATCTCCAATTAATGACCAAAAACCTGGAAATAGAGCTGTGGCTCAAGTGGTAGCGTGTCCTCAGGGACAGTGCCCAGATCTTGAGTTCAACTCACCGGACCGGCACAACACAATACTAAGTTCAAACACTTCTGTGTGTCTAAGAGACTTACGGGATGTTCAGGGTTAGTTTTGAGACTCTTGTGATAGAAGGCCTAGGAGATGCCTTGAGATGGGCCCCATGGCCTGGTCCTGGGGCAGGGCTGGGGCCGACAGGGCGTCTGGTCCAGTGTGGCCGTGGCTGTCTTCTGGCACAGAAGAGACCACACAGCGGCTTCCTTGGAGTTATGTCTGGATGCTGCTGCCCCCCATCTCCCTGGCTGACCGTCTGGGGTAGGGTTGGCAGTGGGAGCCGCACAGGGGAGTGAGCAGGTCTGGTGCTGGGTTCACTGCTCCGGTGCTGCTAGAGGTCTGCCAGAGCCGGGGTGCTGCGACGGCCCAATAGATTCTTTCCCTGGCCCTGCACCTGCTAAGCCTTCCCTGCCCACGGCACACATGTCTGTCTGTCTGTCTTTTGGAGCTTTAGTGGCTTGTCTGCTCAGTTCCTGTGCTCAGCTCTGGCCTGCTCAGGGCACTGCCGGCCAGGCCTGCAGTGCTGACCCTGCTCCTGCCCCACCCCAGGACAGAGCCCACTGTCATGACCCTCCCCCAAGGGGAGTGCACAGTGGACCACAGCAGGCCCCAGGGCCTTAGGCCCACCCCAGCAGGCCCCAGGGCCACACTTCCTTGGTCATTGTGCTCCTGGGGTGTGGCACTGGCGCTCTGAGCTAGATTTCAGTTAGTGGAGGAACCAGATCTTGTGAGTCATGAGTAAGCAGGTCTTGGCTGGCCTACGGGGGAGCCAGTGATGCCCAGGATAGAAGGACTGTCCCCACCACCCCCTCTGACACATAAGCTCATTTCCAGCTGCAGGCACAGGATTTCCCAGCCAGCACTTTGCCGTTTGCGCTGGTCCTGGGTCTGCTTGGTCCTTCAGAGCTCGCTCTCAGTGGGAGCTGTGAGGCTGGGGGTAGACAAGCCCTTTAGGAATGACCTAGGGTCCCTGGGACTGGACAGAGCCAGCGCCAGGTTTTCCTCCCAGGGCTGCTGGGATCTTAGGCTAGGCCCTGGTGAGCAGGCAGTCACGTGTACACGACGGTCACGTGTACACAAGGGTCACGTGTACACGAGGCCTTCCCAGGTCCCATGTACACAGGGGACTTCCCAGACCACATGTACACAGAGCCTTTCCAGGTTACGTGTACACAGGGGCTTCCCAGGTCACGTGTACACAGGGGACTTCCCAGACCACATGTACACAGGGCCTTTTCAGGTTACGTGTACACAGGGGCTTCCCAGGTCATGTGTACACAGGGGACTTCCCAGGTCACGTGTACACAGGGGACTTCCCAGATCACATGTACACAGGGGCTTTCCAGGTCACGTGTACACAGGGGCTTCCCAGGTCACATGTACACAGGGGCTTTCCAGGTCACTGTACACAGGGACTTCCGAGGTCACGTGTACCCAGGGGCTTCCCAGGTCATGTGTACACAGGAGCATCCCAGGTCACGTGTACACAGGGGCATCCCAGGTCACGTGTACACAGGGCCTTCCCAGATCACGTGTACACAGGAGCTTCCCAGGTCACGTGTACACAGGGGCTTCCCAGGTCACGTGTACACAGGGGCTTCCCAGGTCTCGTGTACCCAGGGGCTTCCCAGGTCACGTGTACACAGGGCCTTTCCAGGTCACTGTACACAGGGGCCTTCCCAGGTCACGTGAACCCAGGGACTTCCAAGGTCACGTGTACCCAGGGGCTTCCCAGGTCATGTGTACACAGGGGCTTCCCAGGTCACATGTACACAGGGGCTTCCCAGGTCACGTGTACACAGGGCCTTCCCAGATCATGTGTACACAGGGGCTTCCCAGGTCACGTGTACCCAGGGCCTTCCAAGTCACATGTAGATGGGGAGCTTCCCAGGTCATGTGTACACCAGGAGGCCTCCCAGGTCCACTTGTAGGGGTTGATTGGTGACATTGTACATCATTTCTGGCTTAGAAACTGTACACACACCTTACACTTCTATGAAATCCCGAAGACCTTTCTCTGTCTGCCCAGCTTGCAGAGTCTAGAAGGACTTTGCTCTCTGCCCCAGAGTGTGGCATGCCGACCGGGTGGTTCCAAGGGTGTGAGGTGTGTGGCTGCTCAGAACTGCGTGATACTGGCTGCGGGGCTCATGGTGGAAGCCCAGGCCTTCAGACCCCGCCCCACACACTGGCTAGCTTCTTGTGGAACCCCTGAGATTCAGATAGCGCAACTCCGAGGTCTGCTACCTGGTTGGGCTGTGAGGGGCGTGGCCCGTGTGCAGCCTGCCCTTTCCTGGTGGAATTCTCAGCATACTGTTGTTGTGTCTGCTCTCTGGGCACCAGGATCCAGCCACTGCCCTCAGGCTTCCCATCCTCTCCAGCTTCACCACAGGGGCTGCAATCAGGAGAGGTCTTCTCAGCTTGCCACCTCCTGAGCGCAGTTGACATCCAGTCTTGCCCTCTGGAACTTCCCAGCAGAGCCCTCTCCCCAATGGAGAGCGGAGCTGGCTAGCTTGGAGCAGGGAGGGCAGCAAAACAGCCCTGAGTGGCTGAGATCTCGCTCTGGAGCCCTGGAACCTGGGTTCCTGCTGGGACACGGTCATGGGTCAGCGTCTTCACCGGTCCCCGTCCTTCTGTCTGGTCCCTGTTCCCGGGACCTCTGGGTCTCGCTCTGCGGGGCTGCAAGCGGAGGGACTGACCGTCCCACACCTCCTGCTCTCTCGCAGGCTCCGCGCATGGGCACCTTCATTGGCGTGTACCTGCCCTGCCTGCAGAACATCCTGGGTGTGATCCTCTTCCTGCGCCTGACCTGGATTGTGGGTGCGGCCGGCGTCCTGGAGTCCTTCCTCATCGTGGCCATGTGCTGCACCTGTGTGAGTTGCCCTTGCTGCCCTGTGACCTTCCTCCAGCAGCGCCAGGTGCTGTCTTCGCGATGGCTGCGGGGGCGGGGCGGGCTCTGCGCTGCCTCATTGTTCACACACCTTGGTTGGCTGGGGGAGAGGCTGCTCCCCCCAGCCCGCCGCGCACAGACACGGAGGCCTTTCCTAGCTGCATCCCGCTGGTGGGCTGCTTTGTGGTTGGCACCGGGCTGGGGTGGCAGAGGCCACTTTGGCTGCTCAGCGGGGTCCTGCTGCAGGTGGACAAGGGACAGCAAGGCAGCACTGGTGTTAGAGAAAGAGCCAGTGTCAGACTTGTCCTCCAGACCTAGAGCTGTCCCCAGGTGGCCTCCCATGTGCCTGCAACATGAGGCCTTCTTACCTCTGTATTCTGTCTGCTTTATCTCTTTTGGTGTGTGTGTGCCGGTCCTTGGCTTGAACTCGGTCAGGGTGTTGTCCCTGAGCTCTTTTTTTCCAAAGACAGTGCTCTACCACTGAGCCACAGCTTCACTTCCAGCTCTTCGGTGGTTCAGAGTCTCATAAACTTTTCTGCCCGGGCTGGCTTTGAACTGGGATCCTCCGGCCTCAGCCTCGTGAGTAGCCAGGATGACAGGCCTGAGCCCGGTTGCTGTACTTCCTGTTGTGCCTCAGCTCTTCAGCAGCTTGCTTTCCTTGGTGTCTCCTAGTGTGTTGAGAAGGACAGATAGAAGATTCTTTTCTGGAATCTTCCACTGCAGATTGTTTTCTGGAAAGAATCCAAACAGAGCAACTTGACAGGACTGCCTTTTGGACCACTGTCCCAGGCGGCCCCCCTGCCTGGCCTCTGGCTGGTCACCCCCCCCCATACCACTGTCCCAGGCGGCCCCCCTGCCTGGCCTCTGGCTGGTCACCCCCCCCCCCCATACCACTGTCCCAGGCGGCCCCCCTGCCTGGCCTCTGGCTGGTCACCCCCCCCCCATACCACTGTCCCAGGCGGCCCCCCTGCCTGGCCTCTGGCTGGTCACCCCCGTACCACTGTCCAAGACGGCCCCCCACCCGCTGCCCACCTGCCTTTCCGTGATCTGGTCCCTCGGTGTGTGTCTGCCCCAGGGCACTTGTCCTGTCCTTGGCTGGTTATTGCAAGGTTCCCGAGGGGCTGGTGGCTGGAGCAGGCCTGCCACGCCCCGTGGGAGGTGGAAACCACAGGGGCCCCTTGGATCTGCTTGCTTGCCCTCCTGTGCCTCCTGGGTCATACCCCTGGCTGGAATTCCCCTGGGCACAGGCAGATCCCGGTGGGGCCTGAAAGGTGAGGTTTCCTGCAGGATGTGGGGCCAGTGTTGAGGCCTGAGGGGGACAGGGCCGAATGCCGGTGTACGGAGGGGTCTGGTCACCCAGCTGTGCTGCGGCCAGGCCTGGACGGTGACCGGGCCCCCGCACCTCAGGGCGTGCCTTCCCTAAAGAGCCACCTTTCTCTTTACAGACCATGCTGACTGCCATCTCCATGAGTGCCATTGCCACCAACGGTGTGGTCCCAGGTAAGGACCCTGCCCGGCAGCCCTAGAGTGAGCTGCGGGGCTGCTGACCACTGACGGTGGCCCGCACCTTCACCCAGTAGTGGCACTGGAGGGCGCTTGCCTTGCCTAGGGGAGGCAGAGAGGCTTGTCCCCTCTGCAAGGAGCAGCCGGGCGGGCCCTGCCGGTCTGGCTTCTCCAGAGCCAGTACTCGGTGTGCCCGCCCTGACCACCTGAGAACTGCTGTTCTGTCCTCTGCACAGGAGTCCAGGGCTGTGCTTAGTTTGGGGCCCAGCCGTGACCCCTGGGGGGCGGGGACTGTGTGGGACATGACCCCTGGAGGGCGGGGGCTGTGTGGGACATGACCCCTGGGGGACGGGGGCTGTGTGGGACATGACCCCTGGGGGGCGGGGGCTGTGTGGGACATGACCCCTGGAGGGTTGGGCTGTGCAGGGGACATGACCCCTGGAGGGCGGGGCTGTGTAGGGGACATGACCCCTGGAGGGCGGGGCTGTGCAGAGGACATGACCCCTGGAGGGCAGGGCTGTGCAGGGGACATGACCCCTGGAGGGCGGGGGCTGTGTGGGACATGACCCCTGGAGGGTTGGGCTGTGCAGGGGACATGACCCCTGGAGGGTTGGGCTGTGCAGGGGACATGACCCCTGGAGGGTGGGGGCTGTGCAGGGGACATGACACCTGGAGGGCGGGGCTGTGTGGACATGACCCCTGGAGAACGGGGCTGTGCAGGGGACATGACCCCTGGAGGGTGGGGGCTGTGCAGGGAACATGACCCCTGGAGGGCGGGGGCTGTGTGGGACATGACCCCTGGAGGGCAGGGCTGTGTGGGACATGACCCCTGGAAGGCAGGGGCTGTGTGGGGACATGACCCCTGGAGGGCGGGGGCTGTGTGGGACATGACCCCTGGAGGGTGGGGGCTGTGCAGGGGACATGACCCCTGGAGGGCGGGGCTGTGTGGGACATGACCCCTGGAGGGCAGGGCTGTGTGGGACATGACCCCTGGAGGGCAGGGCTGTGTGGGACATGACCCCTGGGGGGCGGGGGCTGTGTGGGACATGACCCCTGGAGGGCAGGGCTGTGCAGGGGACATGACCCCTGGGGGGCGGGGGCTGTGTGGGACATGACCCCTGGAGGGTTGGGCTGTGCAGGGGACATGACCCCTGGAGGGCGGGGGCTGTGCAGGAGACATGACCCCTGGAGGGCGGGGCTGTGCAAGGGACATAACCCCTGGAGGGCGGGGGCTGTGTGGGACATGACCCCTGGAGGGCGGGGTCTGTGCAGGGTACATGACCCCTGGAGGGCGGGGCTGTGTGGACATGACCCCTGGAGGGCGGGGCTGTGCAGGGGACATGACCCCTGGAGGGCGGGGCTGTGCAGGGGACATGACCCCTGGGGGGCGGGGGCTGTGCAAGTGACATGACCCCTGGAGGGCAGGGGCTGTGTGGGGACATGACCCCTGGAAGGCAGGTGCTGTGTGGGAATATGACCCCTGGAGGGCGGGGGCTGTGTGGGACATGACCCCTGGAGGGTGGGGGCTGTGCAGGGGACATGACCCCTGGAGGGCGGGACTGTGTGGGACATGACCCCTGGAGGGCAGGGCTGTGTGGGACATGACCCCTGGAGGGCAGGGCTGTGCAGGGGACATGACCCCTGGGGGGCGGGGGCTGTGTGGGACATGACCCCTGGAGGGTTGGGCTGTGCAGGGGACATGACCCCTGGAGGGCGGGGCTGTGTGGGACATGACCCCTGGAGGGCAGGGCTGTGTGGGACATGACCCCTGGAGGGCGGGGGCTGTGCAGGGGACATGACCCCTGTAGGGCAGGGCTGTGCAGGGGACATGACCCCTAGAGGGCAGGGCTGTGCAGGGGACATGACCCCTAGAGGGCAGGGCCTTGTGGGACATGACCCCTGGAGGGCGGGGCTGTGTGGGACATGACCCCTGGAGGGCGGGGCTGTGTGGGGACATGACCCCTGGGGGGCGGGGGCTGTGTGGGACATGACCCCTGGATGGTTGGGCTGTGCAGGGGACATGACCCCTGGAGGGCGGGGGCTGTGTGGGACATGACCCCTGGAGGGCAGGGCTGTGTGGGACATGACCCCTGAAGGGCGGGGGCTGTGCAGGGGACATGACCCCTGTAGGGCAGGGCTGTGCAGGGGACATGACCCCTGGAGGGCGGGGCTGTGCAGGGGACATGACCCCTGGAGGGCAGGTTTGTGCAGGGGACATGACCCCTGGAGGGCAGGGCTATGTGGGACATGACCCCTGGAGGGCGGGGCTGTGCAGGGGACATGACCCCTGGAGGGCAGGGCTGTGCAGGGGACATGACCCCTGGGGGGCGGGGGCTGTGCAAGTGACATGACCCCTGGAGGGCGGGGGCTGTGTGGGACATGACCCCTGGAGGGCGGGGCTGTGTGGGACATGACCCCTGGAGGGCGGGGGCTGTGCAGGGGACATGACCCCTGGAGGGCGGGGGCTGTGTGGGACATGACCCCTGGAGGGCGGGGCTGTGTGGGACATGACCCCTGGAGGGCGGGGGCTGTGCAGGGGACATGACCCCTGGAGGGCGGGGCTGTGTGGGACATGACCCCTGGAGGGCAGGGCTGTGTGGGGACATGACCCCTGGAAGGCGGGGGCTGTGTGGGGACATGACCCCTGGAGGGCGGGGGCTGTGTGGGACATGACCCCTGGAGGGCGGGGGCTGTGTGGGACATGACCCCTGGAGGGCAGGGCCTGTGTGGGACATGACCCCTGGAGGGCAGGGGCTGTGTGGGACATGACCCCTGGAGGGTTGGGCTGTGCAGGGGACATGACCCCTGGAGGGCGGGGGCTGTGTGGGACATGACCCCTGGAGGGCGGGGTCTGTGCAGGGGACATGACCCCTGGAGGGCGGGGCTGTGCAGGGGACATGACCCCTGGAGGGCAGGGGCTGTGTGGGACATGACCCCTGGAGGGCAGGGCTGTGCAGGGAACATGACCCCTGGAGGGCGGGGGCTGTGTGGGACATGACCCCTGGGGGGCGGGGGCTGTGTGGGACATGACCCCTGGAGGGCGGGGCTGTGTGGGACATGACCCCTGGAGGGCGGGGGCTGTGTGGGACATGACCCCTGGAGGGTTGGGCTGTGCAGGGGACATGACCCCTGGGGGGCAGGGGCTGTGCAGGGGACATGACCCCTGGAGGGTTGGGCTGTGCAGGGGACATGACCCCTGGAGGGCGGGGGCTGTGTGGGACATGACCCCTGGAGGGCGGGGTCTGTGCAGGGGACATGACCCCTGGAGGGCGGGGCTGTGCAGGGGACATGACCCCTGGAGGGCGGGGGCTGTGTGGGACATGACCCCTGGAGGGCGGGGCTGTGTGGGACATGACCCCTGGAGGGCGGGGGCTGTGTGGGACATGACCCCTGGGGGGCAGGGCTGTGCAGGGGACATGACCCCTGGAGGGCGGGGGCTTTGTGGGACATGACCCCTGGAGGGCGGGGCTGTGTGGGACATGACCCCTGGGGGGCGGGGCTGTGTGGGACATGACCCCTGGGGGGCGGGGGCTGTGCCCGGTTTGGGGCCTGGGCTGGGGCCACTGCAGTGGTGTGTTGGGCTTTTCCCGGCTAGGTTGGCAGCCCTGTGTGGTGGTGGTTGCAGCCCATGCTGAATGCCTGGAAGGTGCTTGCTGCCCAGTAGTCCTGGAGCAGGGACCGGGGAGGACCGGAAGGTGCTCCTGTTGAGGCCATGCCTGGTCCTGTGGACACAGGCTAGCGCTCCACTTTTCCACCATTCTGTGGTCTGTACATGTGCAGTCATTTCCAAGACCGGGTCCTGCAGTGTGTGGAGAGACGGGGGTGGCATGTGAGGGTGGAGAGGGGCTGTGGAGAGGGGAGGGCTGTGGAGGGGGGAGGGCAGTGGAGGGGAGGACTGTGGAGAGGGGAGGGCTGTGGAGGGGAGGGCAGTGGAGGGGAGGGCAGTGGAGGGGAGGGCTGTGGAGGAGGGAGGGCTGTGGAGGGGGAGGGCTGTGGAGGGGGGAGGGCAGTGGAGGGGAGGGCAGTGGAGGGGAGGGCTGTGGAGAGGGGAGGGCTGTGGAGGGGAGGGCAGTGGAGGGGAGGGCAGTGGAGGGGAGGGCTGTGGAGAGGGGAGGGCTGTGGAGGGGGGAGAGCTGTGGAGAGGGGAGGGCTGTGGAGAGGGGAGGGCTGTGGAGAGGGGAGGGCTATGGGGGGAGGGCTGTGGAGGGCAGGGCTGTGGAGGGGGGAGGGCTGTAGAGAGGGGAGGGCTGTGGAGGGGGGGCTGTGGAGGGGGGAGGGCTGTGGAGGGGGCTGTGGAGAGGGGAGGGCTGTGGAGAGGGGAGGGCTGTGGAGGGGGAGGGCTGTGGAGGGGGGCTGTGGAGAGGGGAGGGCTGTGGAGGGGGGGCTGTGGAGGGGGGGGCTGTGGAGACGGGGCTGGTGTGGGCTGGACATGTGGGCACCAGCTCTGGGTCTCCATCTCAGTCTCTGGCACTCACGGGCACTTGAGCCTTAGAACCAGAGCTGACCCCAGCATGGAGCCCTCACCTGCTGAAGAGCTGGGGTCCTGTGGGGAGGAGGCTAAGGGGCCCACTTGGGGCTGTAGCCCGGGTCTGTGGACTCTGTACCCCTAGCAAAGGTGAAGCCAATGCTCTTTAGCTTGATGAGCGTGGCGTTGCACAGATGACACACTCGCCTCCGCAAGGCAGTCAGCATGCTGCTGGGTTGAGTGCGCTCAAGTCTGGCTCTGCTCCCTGGCTCCCTGTGTCCTGGGTGTGGATGCAGCCCGTGCTGCTGTGCACCATGAGTCCCAAATTGCTGTCCTCTTTCTTTGGAACTCTGTGCAGAGCTCTCTCGAACCCCTAGTCACACGCATGTTGAGTCCCCAGAGAGAGGGAGCCCTGTCTGTCTGTGCAGGGCGTCTGTCTGTCTGTGCAGGGCGTCTCTCTGTCTGTGCAGGGTGCCTGTCTGTCTGTGCAGGGAGCCCTGTCTGTCTGTGCAGGGCGTCCTGTTGGCTCTGCCGGCTGGGGGTTCATGTTCTACCTGCTTGGAAGGCTGTTCGACATGCAGCAGCCAGGGTCCAGTCTTATGGTTGGCTTTCAGGAAGGGGGTACACTGCTTGAGTCCCAGCCCAGGGTCAGCTCAGCTGACGGTGGCTGTGAGCATGCGTCTGTCCCAGGACGACATTCCAGACGGCTGCAAAACAACTGCCGTTCTCCTCCACCTGTTTTTGAAAATGGTGGCAGATTCCTAGTGTTGGTCCAGTGTGTCTGCAGAGCTCTGCAGACGTGCCTTCTCTGTGTGACATTTTCATGAGAGGCACCGGCCGCTCCCCACAGTGGGAGGCCGGGGCTCACGGGTGGGTTAGAAGGATTGCCTGCCTTCTATTTTTGAGTCAAGGTGTCCTTATGTAGCTCAGGCTGGCCTTGACCCTGCTGTTCTCCAGCCTCAGCCTTCGCTCCCAAGAGCTAGCCACAGACATACGCAAGCACTTTCTGAGTGGTGTTTGAGGATGGGCTGAGACTTCACTTTACAGAGAGCTCTTCCCCGAGACACACAGACAGTGCTCCCCTTCCCTAGACACACAGACACACAGTGCTCCCCTTCCCTAGACACACAGACAGTGCTCCCCTTCCCTAGACACACACACAGTGCTCCCCTTCCCTAGACACACAGACAGTGCTCCCCTTCCCTAGACACACACACACAGTGCTCCCCTTCCCTAGACACACAGACAGTGCTCCCCTTCCCTAGACACACAGACAGTGCTCCCCTTCCCTAGGCACACACAGACAGTGCTCCCCTTCCCTAGACACACACACACAGTGCTCCCCTTCCCTAGACACACAGACAGTGCTCCCCTTCCCTAGACACACAGACAGTGCTCCCCTTCCCTAGACACACAGACAGTGCTCCCCTTCCCTAGACACACAGACACAGTGCTCCCCTTCCCTAGACACACAGACAGTGCTCCCCTTCCCTAGACACACACAGACAGTGCTCCCCTTCCCTAGACACACACACATAGTGCTCCCCTTCCCTAGACAGACAGTGCTCCCCTTCCCTAGACACACAGACAGTGCTCCCCTTCCCTAGACACACAGACAGTGCTCCTCTTCCCTAGACAAACAGAGACAGTGCTCCCCTTCCTGTTGGTGGACAGTATTGGTTGCACTAAGTCTGTCCTGATATGCTTTTCTCTGGCTTGCTTTGTAGCCGGCGGCTCCTACTACATGATCTCCCGGTCCCTGGGGCCTGAGTTTGGAGGCGCTGTTGGGCTCTGCTTCTACTTGGGTACAACCTTTGCAGGAGCCATGTACATCCTGGGCACCATCGAGATCTTCTTGGTGAGTGTGTGTGCAGTGGCCTCCTTGCAGGTACTGTGGCCGGGGCTCCTTCGGTGATGCTGAGTGTCTGTGAGTGTCTGGTTGTGCGCCGAGATGCTCACCGCGGCTGTCGGGGGTCTCAGGCCTGGCTTGATTGATCGGGCAGCGTGCAGGTGTCCGGGACCGGATGCAGGCCCCAGGGCGCTGCGTCCTCCAGCTGACCAAGCTGATTTTGTCCTGCAGACTTACATCTCCCCGAGTGCAGCCATCTTCCAGGCAGAGATGGCCGGTGGTGATGCGGCGGCCATGCTACACAACATGCGCGTCTACGGCAGCTGCACCCTGGCGCTCATGGCCGTGGTGGTCTTTGTGGGGGTGAAGTACGTTAACAAGCTGGCCCTGGTCTTCCTGGCCTGTGTGGTGCTGTCCATCCTGGCCATCTACGCTGGTGTCATCAAGACGGCCTTCGCTCCACCCGACATCCCGTGAGCTGCCTCTCCTCTCCTCCCCTCCCTCCCTCTCTAGGGTGGGCTCGGGTGTCCCGAGGGTCCGGCCTCTCCAGGGCTCCCTCCTGGAGCTCTGAGGTGTGGACCATGGAGGGGTTTCTGAGTGCGTCCGTGTGGACGGGAGGCCAGTGAAGGCCCCGCATCTTGTGGCTCAGGCGGCTGAGCTCTGGGCGGCCCGCTCTCCTTCTTGGTCTTAGCTCACTGCATCCTCGTAGAAGCTCCGCAAGTGGGTTTTGTGGTGGAGAAGGAGGCGGCTGCTCAGTGAGCGAGTGGGACCAAAGAGGAGCCTGGACCCCTCTGGGTGGGCTGGGCAGGCTGTGGGCTGCATAGAGCTGTGGGGCTGGCCAGGTGCTGTGGGCTGGGCAGGCTGTGGGCTGCATAGAGCTGTGGGGCTGGCCAGGTGCTGTGGGCTGGACAGGGCTGCATAGAGCTGGGGGTTGGGCAGGGCTGTGGGCTGCATAGAGCTGTGGGGCTGGGCAGGCTGTGGGCTGCATAGAGCTGTGGGGCTGGCCAGGTGCTGTGGGCTGGGCAGGCTGTGGGCTGCATAGAGCTGTGGGGCTGGCCAGGTGCTGTGGGCTGGACAGGGCTGCATAGAGCTGTGGGGCTGGGCAGGCGGTGGCTGGGCAGGGCTGTGGGCTGGGCAGGGCTGTGGCTGGGCAGGGCTGAGGGATAGGTAGGACTGGGCAGGGCTGAGGGCTGGGCAGCGCTGTGGCTGGGCACAGGCTAAGTCTAACCGAGTCTGGATCTCACTGTCTGCACTCCCACTGGGGCTTCCACCCCTTCTTGCTGAGCGAGCTATGGGATAGCGGAGGAGGCTGCGGGCTGCGGTGGGCGCTGGTTCCTGAAGCTGCAGGGCCTGCATGGCGCTGGCCCTGGGTGCGGGTGGCTCCACGCCCCTGGGCTGCTGAGGTGGGCCACGCCCCTCCGCAGGGTCTGCCTGCTGGGGAACCGCACGCTGTCGCGACGCAGCTTCGACGTCTGTGCCAAGGTGGAGGCGGTCAGCAACGGGACGGTGACCACCGCGCTCTGGGGCCTCTTCTGCAATGGCTCCGGCTCCAGCGCCGTCTGTGACGAGTATTTTGTACAGAACAACGTCACCCAGGTGCAGGGCATCCCCGGCGTGGCCAGTGGCGTCTTCCTGGGTGAGTGCTGGCGAGGGCTGGGTGCTCTCCTCGTGGGAGCTGTGTCTGCGGCCTCTCCCAGGGCCTTGCCTCCTGCCTGGCGAAGGCCTGGGCTCCTGACCGGCCAGGCCTAAGGCTGGGCTCCCTTACCGGCACTGCCAACCAGCCTGGTGGGCCCTGCCTGCCCCGTGCCCCTGAATTAGGGAGGCCAGGGTCCCAGGCAGCCCGCAGTGTTAGAGCTGTTTGTTTCCGTGCTGCCATACCTGTCCGGGGGACGTGAACAGGAAAGGATCTCTTGGGTGGGGGCTGGCCCTGCTCACCCACGCCTCCCTCTGCTCTGACATTTTTGGAAAAGGGATCGTTCTCAGAGGACTCACATGCTTGTTCCCCTGGCTGTGAACTGGGTGTCCCCCGGGTCAGGCACCTGAGCCCCCACGGGGCGGGAAGGGTGGAGAAGGTGGGAAGCTGAAGGGCAGTAAATGGGAGGAGGTGTTGGGTCGCCTGTTCAGGCCCGAACCACATCTGTGGCCGTGTGAGGCTGCACTGGGTCTGGCGGGGGTGGCCCAGGGCCTGTCCTCTGTGGCTGTGTGAGGCTGCACCGGGTCTGGCGGGGGTGGCTCAGGGCCTGTCCCCTCGGTGGTTGTGTGAGGCTGCACCAGGTCTGGCGGGGGTGGCCCAGGGCCTGTCCTCTGTGGCTGTGTGAGGCTGCAGCGGGTCTGGCGGGGGTGGCCCAGGGCCTGTCCTCTGTGGCTGTGTGAGGCTGTCCGGGGCCTGCACTGTGGACTCCGGGACACGGTGGCTGCAGTGCATGAGGTCCCTCAGTGCCAGAGCTCACACCGAGGTTCCCACATGCCGCTCTCCCCAGGCAGGCCTCCTCTGAGCCTCGGGGGAAGAGCAAGCCACATGGCTGGGATAGAAGATTTCAGGATCCCTTGAGGAAGCTTCCAGCATGGCCTGTTCTCCCCACAGATAACCTCTGGGGCACCTACTCAGACAAGGGGGCCTTTGTGGAGAAGAAGGGCGTCCCCTCTGTGCCGGTGCCTGAGGACGGCCGGCCCAGCGGGCTGCCGTACGTCCTCACCGACATCATGACGCACTTCACCTTGCTGGTCGGCATCTACTTCCCCTCTGTGACAGGTGAGCCTTCTCCCCAGCCTCCGTCTGTCCCCTCGGTCTGTGTCTGTCTCATCCCATCTCTTCTCTGTCTGTGCCCGTGGACTGTGTGTCCGTCTTGTTCCGTCTCTTTTCCGTCCGTGCCCTCGGTCTGTGTGTCTGACTGGTCCTGCCTCTTCTCCGTCTGCGCCCCGTGTCAGTCTTACACCATCTCTTCTCCATCTGCCCTCTGTCTGTGTGTCTGTCTCGTCCCGTCTCTTTTCCGTCCGTGTGTCCGTTTTGCCCGATCTCTGGTGTTTGCCCAGCTCTGTCTCTGTCTGTCTCCTCGGCTCCAGGATGGGGCTAGCGGTGCAGCATGCACTGTGGCTTCTCCCGTCTGCTCTGCAGGTATCATGGCAGGATCCAACCGCTCTGGGGACCTCAAGGATGCCCAGAAGTCCATCCCCACAGGCACCATCCTGGCCATCGTGACCACCTCTTTTATTTGTATCCTTGAAGGGAGCGTGCGCTGGAGGGCTGGGCCTCCCTCAGCCTGTGAGGTCTTCCTGGGGCCTTCCCCACGCCGGGGCTGCTAGCGTGTGACGTAGCAGCAGAGCCTGGCACCACTCAGGCCCTTTGGGGTTGGGCGTACAATGGTATGTCACGCACCACACCTGAGTTGACGGACAGCGTGACAGAGTGTGTGGCAGACACTAGCCGCAGTCTCTTTTATGAAGCTGAGATTTCAGGAGGCCTTGTGTTTCTCAGCGAGCTGCTCCTACTGACCCCCGAGGGTCATGCCACAGGCCACACCCCCTCTGGTTGCCTAAGGCTCTGCTGCAGCCATTGGAGATGGTGGAGATGTCGGACGGCGCTCTGAGGACATGGGGTTGACAAAGTGTGTCCCAGGACCCCTGACGACAGGAGACAGGCGGTGGGGTGGGAAGTCCAGCGCAGTGCGGGCCAGGCACAGCTAGAGGATGGGACCCCTGTGTCCACCCTGCAGTGTTCCCATGCTGTCCCTCCCTCCCAGGACGGACTGCTCCTTGACCCACACTGCAGATCTCTCCTGCATAGTGCTCTTTGGGGCCTGTATCGAAGGAGTGGTGTTGCGAGACAAGTATGTGCAGAGTTGCCGCTGGCTGGGCTGTGTACTCAGGGCCATCTTTTTCCTGAGGATGCGTTCACCTTTGGAATTAAAATCACCCCAAGACTTGGCTGATAGCTCTGGGATCAGGCTGCCCTCTGCCTGACCGAGGGGATCAGGTGTCTCCCCTCGTCCTGAGCCTGGGGGACTGGTCAAAGCAAAGCCGATGCCTGATGGGGGCAGGGGCAGGGAGGGCACTGTAGAGCTTTTATGGTAGTAGAGGAGTCCTTTCCACCAGAAGCTTGGCTTTGTGGGTCCGGGGCCCCGAGACCCATGGATATGCTGCCTTCACACTCTGGGCTAGGCTGGGCTTTCTGTGGGGTCAGGGCCACGTCGAAGCCCTCTCACAGGGTGTTGACCACGCTGATGGTCAGGCATCGCCTCTGGTCCTGTCCCCTCCGCTTCCCCTTCCCGAGGCTCAGGGATTTGCAATGGGAACAAAGGAAGGGCTGACTCTGCCTCCCCACCCGCAGGTTTGGGGAGGCCCTGCAGGGAAACCTGGTCATTGGCATGCTGGCCTGGCCCTCCCCCTGGGTCATTGTCATCGGCTCCTTCTTCTCCACCTGTGGCGCGGGACTGCAGAGTCTGACGGGAGCTCCTCGCCTCCTGCAGGCCATTGCCCGCGATGGCATCGTCCCCTTCCTGCAGGTGAGCGCTCTGCTCTGACAGACACTGTCCTCGCGGCCAGACTTCCTTGGTTCTGTGTGCTTTCTGCTTTACCTGCAGTCCGACCAGGGGTACTACTTGTGCCCATTTTGGGTCCTGTAAGCCTCATTCACTTCTGAGGGTCCATCGTTCTCAAAGCTGGAGAAGAATTCTGCCATAATTTTGTTGAGTAGGTTTTTGATGCTTTCCATTTATATCTCTCCTGTGCTCGTGATTTGTCACTTTGGTCTTTTAATGGTGTCTTGTAAATTCAAATAGTATCATTTTAGTGATTTATTAATGTCTTTGATCTAATTCTTCTGTTTTTATTCTGATACCCTATTTTTAGCTTCTTCTTTCTTTCTTTCTTTCTTTTTTGGGTTCAGTCGGGGGCCTGAACTCTGGGCCTGGGCGCTGTCCCTCAGCTCTTCAGCTCAAGGCTAGCACTCTACCACTTGAGCCACAGCACCACTTCTGGCTTTTTTTCTTTTTGCTTATGTGGTGCTGAGGAATCGAACCCAGGGCCTCATGCATGCAAGGCAAGCGCTCTACCACTGAGCCACCTTCCCAGCCCTAGCTTCTTCTTTGTACTAGCTAGGACTTTGTGTTTCTAATTTTGTTAGTAAGCTCTTCATCTTCAAGATTTAGTTTTTGTTATTGAGCTCTTCATTTTCAAGATTTAACAAATTTGATTAAATTTTTTTTTATATCTTTATTGAATTCTCTTTTGTACTCTGCCTTGTCTGTGTTTCATTCAGCTGAATTCTCTTTGAGCTCAGTTGTGGGTTTGTATCCATTTGAATTCATCACTTTAATTTTCATTGATCATTTTAGCATTGTCTTTTTTTTGGGGGGGGGGAGGGGTCCGGTCGTGGGGCCTGTACTCTGGGCCTGGGCGCTGTCCCTCAGCTCTTCATCTCAAGGCTAGTGCTCTACCACTTGAGCCACAGCGCCACTTCCGGCTTTTTTTTCTTTTTGCTTATGTGGTGCTGAGGAATCGAACCCAGGGCCTCAGGCATGCAAGGCAAGCGCTCTACCACTGAGCTACCTTCCCAGCCCCAGCATTGTCTTTTTGAATTTTTTTTTTTTTTTTTTTATTGTGAGAATATCGTACAGAGGGGTTACAATTACATGGGCAAGATAGCGAGTACATTTCCTATCAAGCATTGTTGCCTCCTCGTTGTTTCCCTTTCCCATCCCTTCCCATACTCCTCCCCTCCCCCCCTCCTGGACCTCCTCCCACTCCACACCAAAGTTGTTAAGTTCGTTTTTCGACATAATGACTTGTACATCTCATTGTTGCAATGGATCTACCTGTATCCCTAGTTAAACAATTTGTTTTTCCCTTCCCCTCCACAAATTATACCAACATCAAATACAGTGATAGCAGGGGTTATACTGTGGGGGAGGGACATACAAAGCAACAAAGAAATCATCTTATAAATATGATAGAAACAATTGCATGAAAGGAAAAAAAAAACATTTGAATACTTACCTTGGGGTTCATTCCCCTAACATCAACTTATCTGACCTTTTCTGCTTGACTCAGACATATACTAGTTATTGCAAATAAGGGATACCATGGGACCTATGTTTCTTTGGGCCTGGCTTACTTCACTTAATATAATTTTTTCCAAGTCTTTCACTTCCTAACAAATGGGGCAATGTCATTTTTTCTGATGGAGGCATAGAATTCCATTGTGTGTATATATATATATATATATATATATATATATATATATACCACATTTTCTTGATCCATTCATCTACTGAAGGGCATCTGGGTTGGTTCCATGTCTTAGCTATGGTAAATAATGCTGCAATAAACATAGTCCTGCTGGTAGCTGTAGTGTGGTCTTGTTTGTGATCATTTGGGTAAATGCCCAAAAGCGGGATTGCTGGGTCATAGGGGAGCTCTATGTGAAGTCTTTTGAGGAACCTCCATACTGCTTTCCAAAGTGGTTGAACAAGTTTACACTCCCACTAACAATGCAGTAAGGTTCCCTTCTGTCCGCATCTCCTCCAGCATCTGTTGTTATTAGAGTTCTTGATTATAGCCATTCTAACTGGGGTGAGGTGGTATCTCAGTGTTGTTTTAATTTGCATTTCTTTTATGGCTAGAGAGGTTGAGCATTTCTTCATGTGTCTATTGGCCATCCTTCTTTCCTCTTCAGAGAACTTTCTCTTTAAGTCTTTAGCCCACTTATTTATTGGGCAGTTGTTTCTTTGAAGATTTGTTTTTGGGAGATTTAATTTTTTAAGTTCAGGTATATTTTAGATATGAGACCCTTGTCTGTTGTATGGCTAGTGAAGATCTTCTCCCAATCTGTGGGCTTTCTATTGATCTTGGGAGCTATGTCCTTTGCCATGCAGAAGCTCTGCGATTTCATGTAATCCCATTTGTCCAACCTTTCTTTGATTTCTTATGTTTTTGGGTCTCTATTAAGAAAATTTTGGCCTGTGCCAAGGAGATCTAGGGTTTCTCCTATTCTACCCTGTAATGTTTTCAGACTGTCTGCTTTGACTCTGAGGTCTTTGATCCATTTGGAGTTGATTCTGGTGCAGGGTGCTATATAAGGATCTAGCTTTAGTTTTCTACAAGTAGTTAACCAATTTTGCCAGCACCATTTACTGAAGAGGCTGTTGAATTTGTTGTTTAAAGTGTCTTCCTCTCCTCAAGTTCTCTGTGGTAGGGTCATTGGGTTTTGAGGGAGACTTGTTGCTTTGTTTTGTTATAAATAAGCTCTTCAAGACCCAGTGGAGTCACAATGATAGACACAAAAATAAAGAATTGTCTCAGCAAGGCAAAACTAACTTCTGCAGAAGAATGCACCATCAGCCGGAAAGCTGGCAGGCATGCACACAAATCAGGCCGGCTTCCGCTGCCTAATGCACGTGGCCACACCCCTCCACTCAGATTGGCCAAGCTCACATTCACAATCGCTCGGATTGGCTAATTTGTATAGGGTAAGATGTATTTATATAAGGTCACCGTTAAAAGACTAAAATAAGATGAACAGTACACCAGTAATCTCAAAACATACCTGCACCTTCTGCTATTTCTTGATCCACCTGACCAGTGTCTTCTAAGGTGTGCTTTAATTCCATCTTGGAAAAACCAGTTAAGAGAAAACCTTACATTTTAAAAATACTTCCTGGCCCCAAAGCTGCTCCTCTGTTCTTTCTGCAGTAGCTAGTACAGTCTTGATAGAACAATCAAGGGCCTAGCCACCAGCCCCAGCAGGAACTTGTAAGCAATCCACTTTGCTCACAGATGCATTCACACTTGCCTAGCGTTTAGGTGGAACTTATAGTCTCCTGTGTCCTTTGGGTTGTTGACAGCTCAGAGATTACCTAAGGCTGTAGTGGCAGGTTATGGTGTACTTTCCTGTTACTGGGTTTGGAGGGACGGGGCTCAGTAAAAACGTTCTGTTTCAGTGCTCAAGACCCTATGTACAGGTCGCTCTGAAACAGCAGCTGTTGCTGCTGATAAAGCACAGCCTGTGTTTATGGCAATCTCTAAGGAAAACCAGTTGTCAGTACTGTCCTGTATATTCCAGAAACATCCAGAAACAGTGACTTGATTCTGTATTCATTGAATATAGAAACAAAGACATGCTTTTGTGACCTTGGAGGCCTCACCCCACCCCGTTCGGGGATGTGCCCTGTGATCTTGTAATGGAGCCTTCGGCCCTCTCCCCACCTTGCTGCCCGTCTTCTGCCGGCTTGATTGCTGTTGTTATCTGCCTTCCCATGACCCTCCTCCATGGGTCTTGATTTTTTTTTTCTTATTTTTATATCTCAGCTGAGATGAATGAGGAGACCCAGAGTATGTGAGGGCCTGAGCCACGTGTTGGGGAGGGGGAGCGGGGATGGGGGATGGGTAGGCCCAGGCGGGTGTGTGAGGGCCTGGGCTGGCCTGAGCCACGTGTTGGGGAGGGGGAGCGGGGATGGGGGATGGTAGGCCCAGGCACGTGTTGGGGAGGGGGAGCGGGGATGGGGGATGGGTAGGCCCAGGCGGGTGTGTGAGGGCCTGGGCTGGCCTGAGCCACGTGTTGGGGAGGGGGAGCGGGGATGGGGGATGGGTAGGCCCAGGCACGTGTTGGGGAGGAGCAGGGGATGGGGGATGGGTAGGCCCAGGCAGGTGTGTGAGGGCCTGGGCTGGCCTGAGCCACGTGTTGGGGAGGGGGAGCGGGGATGGGGGATGGGTAGGCCCAGGCGGGTGTGTGAGGGCCCAGGCAGGTGTGTGAGGGCCCAGGCAGGTGTGTGAGGGCCCAGGCAGGTGTGTGAGGGCGGGTGTGTGAGGGCCTGGCCGGGCTGTGTCCCAGATGAGGGCCTTCAGGTATAGATGCAGGATCCATGTTTTTTGTTCCTGTACTTCCTGGCAGCTACTTCTATGTGGGCCACTGAGCTGAGCTATGGGCAGAGGTGGCCCTGCTGTCCATGTGGTTTGTAGCCTGTAAACAAGGGGCCCTTGACCCAGCTTCCTGTTTGTGGACCGTACCTGGGGTGGCTGACGTGCACAGGGGTTCCTTGGCTGCTCTAATAGTGCAGCAGGCCAGATGCTTAAATAGCAGAGACTCATTTTCTCTGCTTCAGACCCAGGTGCCGCAGCGCTGGTTCCCGAGCTGTCTTCCTCCTTCTTGGGTTTTCGTCCCGGTGCTGTCTGTGTGCGAGTCTGTGATGAGATGTGTCTGCTTGTCTCACTTGTGTTTTGGTCGTGGGGCTTGAGCTCTGGGCCTGGGCGCTGTCCCTGAGCTCTTCAGCTCAAGGCGAGCGCTCTACCGCTCTGCTTGAGCCACAGCGCCGCTTCCGGTTTTCTGGTGGTTTATTGGAGATCGGAGCCTCATGGGCTTTCCTGCCGGGGCTGGCTTTGAACCGGGGTCCTCAGATCTCAGCCCCTGAGTGGCTGGGCTGACAGCGGGAGCCACGGCGCCCGGCTCTTGTCTCACATCTCTAGAAGACTTTTCTGGGCAGGAGTGGCCAGGCAGCTCCCCTCTGCTGCCCGGCCTCCCGCTTCCCTTCACCCTGCAGGTGTTCGGCCACGGGAAGGCCAACGGGGAGCCTACGTGGGCGCTTCTGCTCACGGCGCTCATCTGTGAGATCGGCATCCTCATCGCCTCCCTGGATGCTGTGGCCCCCATCCTGTCCATGTGAGTGGCCGGGGTGTGTGTGGGGGGGGACAGGGCCGCCATCCTCCCTCCGGGGCCTTCCCTCTGGGGCCCTCACTTCCTCTTTGGAACCAGTGAACACACAGAGCCGCAGAGCAGGCCTTGCAGGCCAGGTGGTCGGTCACTTAGCAGGTGGAGCTGGTGTGTCCTCACACTGGGGCTGTAGCTGTCCGTAGCACGTGGCCGTGGTGGCAGGCCCAGGACCTGACCTGGGTCTTCTGGGAGAAGCTAGTCTGGAGGGACAGGGAAGCCCTATGGAGGGGCACAGTGGTGTGGAGGGGGCTCCGTGTGGAGCGGGTGTGGGCAGGAAGGTGTGGGCAGGGAGGAGGGCTCCGTGTGGAGCGGGTGTGGGCAGGGAGGCGTGGGCAGGGAGGTGTGGGCAGGAAGGTGTGGGCAGGGAGGGGGGTTCCGTGTGGAGCGGGTGTGGGCAGGGAGGCGTGGGCAGGGAGGGGGGTTCCGTGTGGAGCGGGCGTGGGCAGGGAGGTGTGGGCAGGGAGGTGTGGGCAGGGAGGCGTGGGCAGGGAGGTGTGGGCAGGGAGGGGGCTCTGTGTGGAGCGGGCGTGGGCAAGGAGGCGTGGGCAGGGAGGCGTGGGCAGGGAGGCGTGGGCAGGGAGGTGTGGGCAGGGAGGCGTGGGCAGGGAGGCGTGGGCAGGGAGGCGTGGGCAGGGAGGCGTGGGCAGGGAGGCGTGGGCAGGAGGCGTGGGCAGGGAGGGGGCTCCGTGTGGAGCGGGCGTGGGCAGGGAGGCGTGGGCAGGAGGCGTGGGCAGGGAGGCGTGGGCAGGAGGCGTGGGCAGGGAGGCGTGGGCAGGAGGCGTGGGCAGGGAGGTGTGGGCAGGGAGGGGGCTCCGTGTGGAGCGGGCGTGGGCAGGGAGGCGTGGGCAGGAGGCGTGGGCAGGGAGGGGGCTCCGTGTGGAGCGGGCGTGGGCAGGGAGGCGTGGGCAGGGAGGCGTGGGCAGGGAGGCGTGGGCAGGGAGGCGTGGGCAGGGAGGGGGGCTCCGTGTGGAGCGGGTGTGGGTAGGGAGGCGTGGGCAGGGAGGGGGCTCCGTGTGGAGCGGGCGTGGGCAGGGAGGTGTGGGCAGGGAGGTGTGGGCAGGAGGCGTGGGCAGGGAGGCGTGGGCAGGGAGGCGTGGGCAGGGAGGTGTGGGCAGAGAGGGGGCTCTGTGTGGAGCGGGCGTGGGCAAGGAGGCGTGGGCAGGAGGCGTGGGCAGGGAGGCGTGGGCAGGGAGGCGTGGGCAAGGAGGCGTGGGCAGGAGGCGTGGGCAGGGAGGCGTGGGCAGGAGGCGTGGGCAGGGAGGGGGCTCCGTGTGGAGCGGGCGTGGCGGGGCCCCAGGTGAGGTCTCTGTGTGATGTGCTGGCCTCACGTGGGTCTCACGGGGCCCCTCCTGCTCAGGTTCTTCCTCATGTGCTACATGTTCGTGAACCTGGCCTGTGCAGTGCAGACTCTCCTGCGCACACCCAACTGGCGTCCACGCTTCAAGTACTATCACTGGTAAGACCGCCTGGTACTGGCCGTCAGGTGTGGGGGGGACTCAGGATACCAGCTGTTGCTGAGCCCCAAGCCCCAGGCTGACCAGTGAGGTCTGCTGTAAATCAGCTGTTGCTGAGCCCCAAGCCCCAGGCTGACCAGTGAGGTCCGCTGTAAATCTGTTCCTGGCCCCGAGTGCCAAGTAGGCCTGTGGTTCGTCCTCAGACATCTAGGCATCTGTGGGCAGACGCCGCCTGCTCTGTGTTTCACACGCCACAGAGAGCGTGTGGGTGTGGAGCGGTGTCTAGCACCGCTGGAGCTGCAGCTCCCATGGCAGGGCACTGGTCCCAGGCCCCACAGGTCTCAGGTCTCAGGGATGAGTGGGCGCAAGCCCCACTGGCAGGAGTCAGGCGGATCTCCAGGTGTTGAAGGACGATTGTCACAAGGACAGAAGTGGCGTTCGCGAGGCCGAGGCCGTGGTAGGTGCGGGCTGAGGGCCCTGCGGGCCGGAGTCTGAGCCGCGTGTCCCGCAGGACCCTGTCGTTCCTCGGCATGAGCCTGTGCCTGGCTCTCATGTTCATCTGCTCCTGGTACTACGCCCTCTTCGCCATGCTCATTGCTGGCTGCATCTACAAGTACATCGAGTACCGAGGGTGAGTGGCCGGCAGGGGGCGTGCACTCAGGAAGGCAGGCTGCGCCACCTGGCAACCAGGCCAGGGAGCTCCCTCCCGTGGGGCCTGCCTGGGCCTGATCTGGGGAGCACTGATGGGGCTTCCTTGGGGTCATGTGGTCAGGCTTCAAGGTCTCTGTTTCCTTCTGCCCTCGGTGAGGTCAGCCTCTCCCCTTCCCCGCCACCCTCCCCTCCCCCCCCCCCCCCCCCCCCCCCCCCGCTTGGATTTTGGATTTGCAGCCTGAGAGCTGAGACACAGACAAGCCACAGACTCCAACCTTTATTAACACGGGCGCCTACATCTGCATGCAGCATGTGTGGCTGTTAGTCTGTGCTTTGGCAGCTCTGCAGGGAGAAGTGCTGGGCAGGAGTGGTGTGTACAAGGGCTGTGTCGGACCTCTGAGGAAGCCCTGGCCCCCACAGCCACCCTGCTGCTCATGGTCACCGTCCGAATGGCACCTGCCCTCTCCCCGCACTCCCCCTCCCCCTCCCCGTAGCTCTTGTCCCCTGTGGCCTGCCCACCCTGCCTCCATGTGGCTATCCGGCCCCTATCCGCGTGCTTGAGACCTGCCTGGCTTGGTACCTTCACATCAAGGTTGGCTGACTGGCTCTTGTGCTTCCTGTCCCCGAGCCCACCTTCATGGCCTGGGCTGCTTGATGTTTACATTCCTGGAGGACCCAGCCTGCTTGTCCTGGAGCAGAAGCCCCCTCTGCACAGTTCCCTGGTGGGTGGGGGCACTCCCAGCAATCCCTTGGTACGTGCCTGGAGGGCTGGCCACTCCCTGCTGGGAGGTCTGGTCTCTGGCCAGCTCTGTCTGAAGTTACGACTTTTCCCAGTACCAAGTCTTTTGCCTGAATTGCCCGTCTGCCCACAGTGGCCCTGGTGGTCAGTCCTCTGCAGGAGGAGCCACCGCTATCTCGGGTCTGCAGAAACCTCTGGATGTCCTATCTGACGCTCCTTCCTGTGTGCTGCTGGGCTCCGTGGTAACACTTCCTCCCTCTCTCACAGCGCAGAGAAGGAGTGGGGTGATGGCATCAGGGGCCTGTCGTTGAATGCTGCCCGCTATGCCCTGCTGCGGGTAGAGCATGGCCCTCCGCACACCAAGAACTGGAGGTGGGTGTTCAGGCACAGCCCCCTGGCGGGACAGGGCCGGGGCCAAGGTCTTCTGCCCTCAGCCTCCTGGGGCCTGGTCTGGCCATGAAATCGTTGTCAGGCAGCAGGCCTTGGCGTCCTGTGCCGAGGTGTGGGGCGGCTGGGCCCTGCCTCTCCTGGGCTGCCTGGGCGGGGGCGGAGGGGCGGGAGCCTCAGACGCCAGGCCTGACTCTCCTAAACATTGCCCCTGTGGTGTCCCTGTCAGGCCCCAGGTGCTGGTCATGCTGAACCTGGATGCGGAGCAGTGCGTGAAGCACCCCCGCCTGCTCTCCTTCACCTCTCAGCTGAAGGCTGGCAAGGGGCTGACCATCGTGGGCTCCGTGCTGGAGGGCACCTACCTGGACAAGCACGCCGAGGCACAGCGGGCAGAGGAGGTTGGCGGCAGCTCTGGGTTGAATGAGGAGGGCTGGGGTGGACGATGGCCACCGAGGCCTCGGGCAGGCCGGCTAGAGCCACTGCGTCTTGAGTTGTTGAAGTGGGTCTTTGTATACTGCTCTGCGGATGGTTCTGTCAAAGGCAGCTTGTGGGACTAAGTGTGCAGCACTTGGGGATGGGGAGGCCGTGGGACCAGGCCACTGAGAGCCACCCATGCCAAGCGCCAGCACCTGCCTCCAGCCCCTTGTGCTCAGCTGCGCCATTTCCCCTCCCAGTACTGGAGCTCAGTAGCTGTGGTGGTCATGGGCTTCCCTGTGTCTGCTGGCCCTGTGGATGAGGGGTGAGGAGCCCGAGCTGCACCTGCTTGTGTGGCCCTGGGGACCGGGCCCTCCCTGACACCACTTTGCCATCTGTCCATGGGTTCCTGCAGGACACGCTGTACTCTTGACCACCTTGTTCACTGGTGATTTGTCAGAGAAGGTTTACTTCCCGAAATACTCGGACTGCAGTCTGCCTGATCTCTGCTTTCTGTCACGGCTGGGGTGAATGCCAGCATCTTCCATGGGGGTGACCTCAGCGTCCCATTCTGGCTGCAGTGTCCTGATCTCAGCTTCTCCCATAGCGAGGAGGATGGGTGCTTATCTCTACGCAACTCCATGTTGAGAAGAGGTCTCACACTTTCTTCCCAAACTGGCCTTGAACTTCTATCCTTTTGTTCTCTGCCTTCCAAATAGTTAGGAAGACTGGTACCCAGCTACTTTATAGTACCTAATTTATAGCCAGATTGCCTTTTTTTTTTTTCCAGTCTTGAGTTAGGACCTCATGCATGCTAGGCAAGTGTTCTACCACCAAGCTGTACTCCGTTCCAGTGGACAGTTTGAACCTCAGTGTTTGAGCTGAGCTAGCCATGCGCTTCAAGGTCTTGGGCTGCTGTTGGATGTCTCTGGCATAGTAGCTCCCTGTCCACAAAGGCAGGAGGAGCCCCGGGGGCCCATCTGTCCATCAGACTCAGGTCTGTCCACGTTTCTCTCGGAGCCGTTTCCTCTGATCCAACTGCAAGTTTGTAATGTACAATGAGAACAGTATTGCAGAGCCTTTTTAAGTCATAAAATCTTCTATAAGAAACCGAGCTTGTCAAGACTCTGGGCCTTCCCTCTGTCAAGTTGTGTGAGGACAGGGTCAGTGTTTTAGCCACTTTGGCTTCTGTGGACTTTGCCGGCCTATGTCCGGTGGTGTGAGGAGGCTGCGGCCTTGGCCGTGCACAGCCAGGAGTGTGGTGCCCATGGCCGGGAGGGGCGTGTCCGGGCAGGGGTGTGGTGCCATGGCCGGGAGGGGCGTGTCCGGGCAGGAGCGTGGTGCCATGGCCGGGAGAGGCGTGTCTGGGCAGGTCAGCATCTGCCCTTCCAGGAAGGACATCACTCTGCCGTGTCTGGGCAGGAAGTGCGCTGAGCCCCTTTGCTCTGTGTTGCCCCTAGCCAAGCCCTGATATGCTGGTCTATTCCTAAGGCCACATCCAGGGGACTGAACACAGCCTTCCTCCTCCTCCTATGATTCCTCCACTGTGGGGCCTTCTTACTCCTTCCTGCTTGGGCCAGTGGTCTCTCCACAGCGCCTGCCCGCTGGACATGCCATTCTACTCTCCTGTTGGCTCTTGGGGGAAGCAGTCTGCATGCTGAACTGCACATGCATGCCTGACGCTGTCCCTGTGTTTTCCCCGAGTGGAGGTGGAGGTAACAAGGAGTAAGAGCAAGGGCTGGAGGTGACCGGAGGGGCGAGGAGAGATTGGGAACTGTGTGTGTGTCCGTCTGGCAGACTGCAGAAGTGAGCCATGTGATTGTGTCACCACAAGGTTGGCGTGGTAGCAACCACGAAAAGGAGGGAAGACGTGGCCCTGGCCCTCAGCGTAAGCTGCCTGTGGCTTTTGGAGAGACACCAAGATTAGGCAGTTTGTAACAACAGACTTACTTGATATTGTCAGCATTAGCCTCTCTGGAGGAGGCGTGGGCAGGGCCGTGTGCCTGAGCCCTCCTCTTCTAGTTCTGGGTCTCTGGGGGTCTCTGGGTCAATGGCAGCATCCCTCTGTGGCCTTTAGCTCCAAGCCTGTCCTCTTCTATCTGAAATCTCAGCCTTTGCTCACAGGCACCCTCGCTACAGGACTCTATCTGCAGGACTCTGTCCACATAAGGCCATGTGCTCAGGCCTGGGTTAACCTCAGGCTGCACGCTCAGGCCATTCCTCTTTGAGATCACAACCCACCTCCCCAAACTCACTCTGCCTTATGTGCAAAACACACCCATTATACCATGCTGCGAAGGGTCAGCCCCCAGCATCTCTGGGTCAGTTCCATCCCCCACCCCCTCACCCAGGGCCAGGCACTGGTGGGACCTGACAGGGACTCCTGCACACCCCGGAGATGTGGAAATAAGGTGTCTATGTGCCCCCCAACAATCGCAGCATTGTTCCTGTCCTGAAAGGGGGGTTGGAGGCCACTGCCCGCGCAAGTGGGAAAGCTAGCGGGGCAGAGGCCCTGTGCCCAAGCAGACCTGCGAGTCCGGCTGTTAGAGAAGGCCAGCATTCCATGCCTCAGGTTGTGTGTGTCCAGCCTTCCCTTAAAACCTGACTGTGCTTCTCTAGCAGCCCTAAAACGCATAGGGGGCTGGCAGCCAGCATTATCTGTGGCTTACCTGGTCCTTCCTTCCTGGAATCCTCAAAATGTAGCCTTTCTTTAGCTGCAGGATTTGACTCACTGTAGCTATATTTTCAAGTGAATTAGCACATGGCCCAAAATGTCCTCCAGCCATAGTGGGTGGTTGGCTGAAGACACAGACAGCTGTGAAGAGCGCCAGGTGTCAGCGCTCTGCTGGGTTCTGCTTGTCTCCTGCACCCGGTGCTCCTCACAGCTCACGGCACCCGCGGACCTGTGGCCTCTCCCCGCTCCGGATGCAGTATGCCTGCTTGCCTTTCATGCACTGACTCTGCCCCTCTCCCGCAGAACATCCGCTCTCTGATGAGTGCAGAGAAGACCAAAGGCTTCTGCCAGCTGGTGGTGTCCTCGAATCTGCGGGATGGCACATCTCACCTGATCCAGTCAGCCGGACTTGGAGGCATGAAGCACAACACGGTGCTCATGGCCTGGCCCGAGTCCTGGAAGCAGGCAGACAACCCTTTCTCCTGGAAGAACTTTGTTGGTGGGTGCAGTGGAACTTTGTGGGTGTAATGTTGTGCCTGTGTGCTGTTATATCCAGTGCCCACTTAAGAGTATGTGCTCACAGCTGGGCGCCGGTGGCTCACGCCTGTCATCCTAGCTACTCAGGAGGCTGAGATCTGAGGCTCTGGTTCAAAGCCAGCCTGGGCAGGAATGTCTGTGAGACTCTTATCTCCAATAAACCACCAGAAAACTGGAAGTGGCGCTGTGGCTCAAGTGGTAGAGCGCTTGCCTTGAGCTGAGGAGTACTGGGACAGCACCCAGGCCCAGAGTTCAAACCCCACGATTGACCGAAAAAAAAAAAAAAAAAGAGTATGTGCTTATAACTGAGTGCCGGTGGCTCACACCTGTGATCCTAGCTACTCAGGAGGCTGAGATCTGAGGTTCACAGTTCCAAGCCAGCCTAGGCAGGAAAGTCCATGAGACTCATCTCCAATAAACCACAAGAAAACTGGAAGTGGTGCTGTGGCTCAAGTGGTAGAGTGCTCGCCTTGAGCTGAAGAGCTGAGGGACAGCGCCCAGGCCCAGAGCTCGAGCCCCATGACTGACAGGATAATTAAAAAAAAATAAAAATGTGTTTAGGGCTGCTAAAGCCCTGGACCAGCTGTGCTAGACAGACATATGTCCTCTTGAAAGACTGCAACCTCCTCTTCTCCCCTCCTGCTCTGCCTTTTGGGGAGGTGCCCCCTGCAGGCCTCTGGGTCTGGGGGAGCTGGTGACGGGGCCTTCCATCTTCCTGCCCCATAGAAGGAGCTTTGTGTGGACCCCCCCCCCCCCCATAGCCTGCTGCTGTCTCTCCACAAACACCTGCCCTTGTGTGATCTGCGCGTTTGTCTCCCAGACACCGTCCGTGACACTACCGCGGCCCATCAAGCTCTGTTAGTGGCCAAGAACATCGACACGTTCCCACAAAACCAGGAGCGTTTCAGCGAGGGGAACATTGACGTGTGGTGGATCGTGCACGACGGGGGCATGCTCATGCTGCTGCCCTTCCTGCTGCGCCAGCACAAGGTGGGGTGCTGGGGCGGGCCCGGAGGGAGGGGCGGGGCCAGGCAGGAGGCTAGCACAGCCCTGGGCGGGGCCAGGGGAGGGGCGGGGCCAGGCAGGAGGCTAGCACAGCCCTGGGTGGGGCCAGGAGGGAGGGGCGGGGCCAGGCAGGAGGCTAGCACAGCTCTGGGCGGGGCCGGGGGAGGGGCGGGGCCAGGCAGAGGCTAGCACAGCCCTGGGCGGGGCCAGGCGGGAGGGGCGGGGCCAGGCAGGAGGCTCCCACAGCCCTGGGCGGGGCCAGGGGGAGGGGCGGGGCCAGGCAGGAGGCTCGCACAGCCCTGGGCGAGGCCCGGAGGGAGGGGCGGGGCCAGGCAGGAGGCTAGCACAGCCCTGGGCGGGGCCAGGGGGAGGGGCGGGGCCAGGCAGGAGGGGCGGGGCCAGGCGGGAGGCTAGCACAGCCCTGGGCCCAGGTCTGTGTGGTGGTCCTGCTGGAGTACCCCTCTCCCTTCCAGGTGTGGCGGAAGTGCCGTATGCGCATCTTTACGGTGGCCCAGGTGGATGACAACAGCATCCAGATGAAGAAGGACTTACAGACGTTCCTGTATCACCTCCGGATCAGCGCAGAGGTGGAGGTGGTGGAGATGGTGCGTGCCTGCTGGCCTCTGCTGCTCCGTGGGGAGAGAGACTGAGTGCTACTTGGTAGTTCGGGATCCAAAGGACATGTTCCCACACGCTGGGCTTGCACAGGCAGTGCGGGCTCCTGTGCTCTGGGGTCACATGGGCACTGCGGGGTCCCTGTGCTCTGGGGTCACATGGGCAGTGCAGGGCTCCTGTGCTCTGGGGTCACATGGGCAGTGCGGGGTCCTGTGCTCTGGGGTCACATGGGCAGTACAGGGTCCCTGTGCTCTGGGGTCACATGGGCAGTGCAGGGCTCCTGTGCTCTGGGGTCACATGGGCAGTGCAGGGTCTCTGTGCTCTGGGGTCACATGGTCAGTGCAGGGCTCCTGTGCTCTGGGGTCACATGGGCAGTGCAGGGCTCCTGTGCTCTGGGGTCACATGGGCAGTGCGGGCTCCTGTGCTCTGGGGTCACATGGTCAGTGCAGGGCTCCTGTGCTCTGGGGTCACATGGGCAGTGCAGGGCTCCTGTGCTCTGGGGTCACATGGGCAGTGCAGGGCTCCTGTGCTCTGGGGTCACATGGGCAGTGCAGGGCTCCTGTGCTCTGGGGTCACATGGGCAGTGCAGGGCTCCTGTGCTCTGGGGTCACATGGGCAGTGCAGGGTCTCTGTGCTCTGGGGTCACATGGGCAGTACAGGGTCCCTGTGCTCTGGGGTCACATGGGCAGTGCGGGGTCCTGTGCTCTGGGGTCACATGGGCAGTGCGGGCTCCTGTGCTCTGGGGTCACATGGGCAGTACAGGGTCCCTGTGCTCTGGGGTCACATGGGCAGTACAGGGTCCCTGTGCTCTGGGGTCACATGGTCAGTGCAGGGTCCCTGTGCTCTGGGGTCACATGGGCAGTACAGGGTCCCTGTGCTCTGGGGTCACATGGGCAGTGCGGGGTCCTGTGCTCTGGGGTCACATGGGCAGTGCGGGCTCCTGTGCTCTGGGGTCACATGGGCAGTGCAGGGCTCCTGTGCTCTGGGGTCACATGGGCAGTGCGGGCTCCTGTGCTCTGGGGTCACATGGGCAGTGCAGGGTCTCTGTGCTCTGGGGTCACATGGTCAGTGCAGGGCTCCTGTGCTCTGGGGTCACATGGGCAGTGCAGGGCTCCTGTGCTCTGGGGTCACATGGGCAGTGCGGGGTCCTGTGCTCTGGGGTCACATGGGCAGTGCGGGCTCCTGTGCTCTGGGGTCACATGGTCAGTGCAGGGCTCCTGTGCTCTGGGGTCACATGGGCAGTGCGGGCTCCTGTGCTCTGGGGTCACATGGGCAGTGCAGGGCTCCTGTGCTCTGGGGTCACATGAGCAGTGCGGGGTCCTGTGCTCTGGGGTCACATGGGCAGTGCGGGCTCCTGTGCTCTGGGGTCACATGGTCAGTGCAGGCTCCTGTGCTCTGGGGTCACATGGGCAGTGCGGGCTCCTGTGCTCTGGGGTCACATGGTCAGTGCGGGGTCCCTGTGCTCTGGGGTCACATGGTCAGTGCAGGCTCCTGTGCTCTGGGGTCACATGGGCAGTGCAGGGCTCCTGTGCTCTGGGGTCACATGGGCAGTGCGGGGTCCTGTGCTCTGGGGTCACATGGGCAGTGCGGGGTCCTGTGCTCTGGGGTCACATGGGCAGTGCGGGCTCCTGTGCTCTGGGGTCACATGGGCAGTGCGGGCTCCTGTGCTCTGGGGTCACATGGGCAGTGCGGGGTCCCTGTGCTCTGGGGTCACATGGGCAGTGCGGGGTCCCTGTGCTCTGGGGTCGCATGGGAGAAGTCAGAGGAGTCGCAGCTGCTGCAGCCTCGGCCTACAGGCCTTTGCCGCCCTATGTGGTGGGCAGCTCTGGGAGGGTCAGTGACATTGCTCCCAGTTCACCTGTGCTGTGGCCTCAGTTGTGTGGTCTGTATAGGTTACTCCTGATTCTTATCATCAGAGATGGTACCCAATGCAGTGGGAGGGTCTGGGTCCACCTACTCCAGTGGGAGGGTCTGGGTCCACCTACTCCAGTGGGAGGGTCTGGGTCCACCTACTCCAGCGGGAGGGTCTGTGGTCCACCTACTCCAGCGGGAGGGTCAGTGGTCCACCTACTCCAGTGGGAGGATCTGTGGTCCACCACAGCGGGAGGGTCTGTGATCCACTCCAGTGGAGGGTCTGTGGTCCACTACAGCAGGGGGATCTGTGGCCCATTCCAGCGGGAGGATCTGTGGTCCACTACAGCAGGGGGATCTGTGGTCCACTCCAGTAGGAGGGTCTGTGATCCACTCCAGCGGGAGGATCTGTGATCCACTCCAGTGGAGGGTCTGTGATCCACTCCAGTGGAGGGTCTGTGGTCCACTCCAGTGGAGGGTCTGTGGTCCACTCCAGTAGGAGGGTCTGTGGTCCACTCCAGTAGGAGGGTCTGTGGTCCACTCCAGTGGAGGGTCTGTGGTCCACTCCAGTAGGAGGGTCTGTGATCCACTCCAGCGGGAGGATCTGTGGTCCACTCCAGTGGAGGGTCTGTGGTCCACTCCAGCGGGAGGGTCTGTGGTCCACTACAGCAGGGGGATCTGTGATCCACTCCAGCGGGAGGGTCTGTGGTCCACTACAGCAGGGGGATCTGTGATCCACTCCAGCGGGAGGGTCTGTGATCCACTCCAGTGGGAGGATCTGTGGCCCACTACAGCGGGAGGGTCTGTGGCCCATTCCAGCGGGAGGGTCTGTGGCCCATTCCAGTGGGAGGGTCTGTGGCCCATTCCAGCGGGAGGATCTGTGGCCCATTCCAGCGGGAGGGTCTGTGGCCCATTCCAGCGGGAGGGTCTGTGATCCACTCCAGTGGGAGGGTCTGTGGTCCATTCTGTTGGGAGGGTCTGTGGTCCATTCTGTTGGGAGGGTCTGTGGTCCACTCCAGTGGGAGGGTCTGTGGTCCACTACAGTGGGAGGGTCTGCGGTCCATTCTGTTGGGAGGGTCTGTGGCCCACTCCAGTGGGAGGGTCTGTGGTCCACTCCAGTGGGAGGATCTGTGATCCACTCCAGCGGGAAGGTCTGTGGCCCACTCCAGTGGGAGGGTCTGTGGTCCACTCCAGTGGGAGGGTCTGTGGTCCACTCCAGTGGGAGGGTCTGTGGCCCACTACAGCGGGAGGGTCTGTGGCCCATTCCAGTGGGAGGATCTATGGTCCAGTGTGGAGCAAGCCTGCTGGGGATGTGGGGTGGGGCACAACAGGAGGTGGAAGGTATTCCCAGGGGGTGTGGTGTGCTGTCCTGGCCTGGGCTGCAGAGCTGTTGTTTGCCCCTGCTGGTCTGGAGTGGTGTCCCTGGGATCACAGATGTGGTCAGGTTGCTATCTGTTAATTATTGGCAATCTCTGTGTTTTTGTGTCACTTCTCAGGGAACCTGCTTGTCCTATGGGCTGTGCGCCCCCCACTCCCCCCCCCCCCCCCCGCGCATTAGAATTCGCTTGGATTAGGGACACAGTTGGGGAACACCCACAGTTGAGGGACACAAATACTTGGAGCACGCACAGTTGAAGGGTCTTTAGCCCCAGGCTTGCTAGTTGGACCTGCAGGTCTGAGTCTGGACAGCCTCACCATTTGCAGGTCCGAGTCTGGACAGCCTCACCATCTCCAGGCTGTGGACTTGCATTCAGTGGCTTCCCCTCGCAGTCCTCTGCAGACTTGCTCTCTAGATGTGACCGGCTTGAGGACTCGCACAAGTAACATTGGAAAACATCTTTGTGATGTGGGGACAAGCTGCTCGGAACGTTCCCCCGCAGAGACGAGGCTTTGCCAGATGGCCCTGTGGCTGGAGAGCAAGTCCAGCAAAGCTGGTGAGGTCTCCTGCCCACAAACAGTCCTGCCGGGAGACAGGTCATTGCTGCCCTCGGGCCTCTGCTCACAGCCAGGATGCTGCGGCTGACTGTAGATTGTAGGTGTGGGTTGTCAGGGGTAGGGAATGGCAGAAGAGTCCACAGTGCTAAATGCTTTTGTTCTTCCCAGCATGTTTTCTGCGCTTTCACTTCTGTGGGTGAGGAGCCCACCCCAAAACAGAAAACGCCTGGTATGTGTAAGCACGAGCTCCTCAAAGCCACAGCTTCTGCAGCCAGGCGTGCCCCACCCACGCCCGACATGCGACCTGCCAACCCAGCGTGCTTGCCCGTGCAGGGTGACAGTGTTGTCATCACACTGCCTGTTGAGGTCAGGGGTGGTGGAGGGGTGTCCAGTGAGACTGGAGGCCATGCCACACCAACCCTCCTGTGTTACAGCTCTGGGGCTGCTCTGGGCCAGGGTCTGACTTCTGTGACGGGCAGGGGCCCAGGGTACATGCAGGCTGCCTGCTCAGTCCCGGTGGCCCTGCGTGGAGGATCCCTGGTGACGACACAGCAGTCTTTCTGTCCATACTGTTTACACGCTGCTTTGGAACTTCTTAGGTTGAGAACGACATTTCTGCGTTCACCTACGAAAAGACACTGATGATGGAGCAGAGATCCCAGATGCTGAAGCAGATGCAGCTGTCTAAGACTGAGCGGGAGAGAGAGGTGAGTGTGTGAGACCTGGAGCCCCAGGCCCTTCCAGAGCTGTGTGTCCACGCTCCAGAGCAGACTGTGTCCACGTTCCAGAACACAGACTGTGTGTGTATAAGTTCCAGAGCAGACTGTGTCCACGTTCCAGAACACAGACTGTGTGTGTATAAGTTCCAGAGCAGACTGTGTGTGTATAAGTTCCAGAGCAGACTGTGTCCAAGTTCCAGAGCAGACTGTGTCCAAGTTCCAGAGCAGACTGTGTCCAAGTTCCAGAGCTGACTGTGTCTAAGTTCCAGAACACAGACTGTGTGTATAAGTTCCAGAGCAGACTGTGTCCAAGTTCCAGAGCAGACTACTGTGTGTGTCCAAGTTCTAGAACATAGACTACATGTGTCCAAGTTCCGGTACAGACTGTCCAAGTTCCAGAACAGACTCTGTCCATGTTCCAGAACAGACTGTGTGTCCAAGTTCCAGAACAGACTGTCCAAGTTCCAGAACAGACTGTGTGTGTCCAAGTTCCAGAACACAGACTGCATGTGTCCAAGTTCCAGAACAGACTGTGTGTGTCCAAGTTCCAGAACAGACTGTCCAAGTTTTAGAACGCAGACTGTGTGTCCCAAGTTCCGGACTAGACTGTGTCCCAGAGTGAGTGGAAGGCAGTGCAGTCTTGTGTTGGGGGAGGAAGCGGCAGTGCAGTCTTGTGTTGGTATGTTGTTCGCACGTGGTCTGTGCCCGTGGAAGCCGTGGGAGATGGAGCGGCGCTGTCTCTGGGCCGGCGCTGGTGCCCCAGCATTCACTGTAGTTGTCGTGCGGTGTAGCTAGAACAGGCGCTGCTGTGGCCTGGCGAAGGTGAGGTGTGGAAGGCTCGGACTCACTGGGCTAGCAGGACACAGGGTCCACATGGCTGGGCTGGGTTTCCGTGGACCCAGTCACAGGAGCATGGGACCTCACTGTCCGTGGAAACTGGCTGTGTGTGGTCAGTGTGTGGGCCTGTGTCGATGAACAGCTGGCTAGGAAGGTGCCCACCCTCCATCCCTGCACATCCCCGGCAGAGATCACAGGAGACACTGGTCCCCTGGGCTCCAGGGAGACAGAGATCACAGGACACACTGGTCCCCTGGGCTCCAGGGAGACAGAGATCACAGGACACACTGGTCCCCTGGGCTCCAGGGAGACAGAGATCACAGGACACACTGGTCCCCTGGGCTCCAGGGAGACAGAGATTGCGAGGATGCACTTCCGCGGTCCATTGCAGATGCGGGGCGCTCTAGGACATCCACAAATGTAGAACCTTTACCATGGGTGCCAGCGCCGCCCGGGAGACGCAGTGGCTTCATCTCTGTCACATCCGCAGGCTTTAGGGAGCCTAAGTTCCAGCCCGAGGCCCTATACCCTGGGTCAAACAAGTTTAAGTGGGAAGTGACTAATCCTCCATGAAGGAGTGCGGAGATGGAGTCCGATCTCTGGTGGGGTGAGTGGGAGGGAGGCCTCAGCTTCGCTGGACCGGACACAGGTGCTGGCCTTCGGTCTCTACTTCGCTGTTGGAGGACTTTGGAAGGAACGGGCTGAGGCGGGGTGAGGGTGCTGAGGTCTGGGAGGCCCACAGGTGTAACTGAGCGCACGCAGTGCTGTTCCAGGGGAGACTGGGGCCCGAGAGCATGCCTGCCTGGTACCCTCTGCCCCAGGATGCCACACAGCAGCACCCACCCACCCACCCGGCTCAGGCTGCACGGGCTGGGCCGGCGGCGGCCTTCTGTCTGTGAGGTCCTACATCTCCGTGTGGTGCAGTCATCCAACCCAGGGCCTCCATGGGCCCCTGGCCCCACCACAGATCTGAGCCTCGGCTGTCACCGGCTGTGGTGGGAGCCTGCCTCCATTTGGTCCCCTGTTGTGGGAGAGGCCTCTGGGGCAGTCAGCGTCAACAGGAGGGATGGGCACTGAGGCTGGTGCCGCCCATCAGAACACACAGCGGGATAGCAGCAAACAGGTCGCCTCTTCCCCGTGGGTTACCCACGCTCACGTCAGCTCTGCCGGATCGGCTTCTCAGGCGCACTGTCCAAAGCCCAAGAATTGCCTGGGTGTAGAGAATGCCCAGCAGAGGTCAGTGTTAGCAAGGCAGGTGAGCACCAGGCCAGGCTACACAGTGCCAGGCTGTAAATACCACGCTCACCAGATATGGTGTTCACCCAGCTCACCAGCTTCGGTGCCCGGCATCTGCCCAGTGCACTCCTCCTCCCTGCCTGTGTCCTGCCACCACCCCTCTGGTGGCGCTTTTTGTTATGCGAGTGGCCAGGCTCGCTTTTGTTATGCGGGTGGCCAGGCTCGCTTTTGTTATGCGGGTGGCCAGGCTCGCTTTTGTTATGCGGGTAGCCAGGCTTGCTTTTGTTATGCGGGTAGCCAGGCTTTGGATCTGGCCGGTGATCCACCCCAGAGGCACCCTGGAGCAGGCAGGAAGATCTGCTGTACTTAGGGGTACAGAGGTGGCCCTCCTGGGGAAGTTACACCCAGGACTGTGTCCAGACACTCAGAGAAGATGCCCTGCTCTGCCCACACCACGGTGAGGTCAGGAAGCTTCCTTTCTTTTTTTTGTTTAAATTTTATTGTGAAAATACTGTACAGAGGGGTTACAATTACATGGGCAAGGTAATGAGTACATTTCTTACAAAGCATTGTAGCCTCCTCGTTTCCCCTTCCCATCCCTTCCCATTCCCCCCCCCCACGTCAAAGTTGTAAAGTTCATTTTTTAACATAACGACTTGTACATCTCATTGTTGCGATGGATCCACCTGTATCCCTATTTAAACGATTTGTTTTTTCCCTTCTCCTCCACATATATCAACATCAAATACAGTGAAAGCATGGGTTATACCATGGGGGGAGGGACATACAAAGCAACAAAGAAGTATCTTATAAATATGATAGAAGCAATAGCAAGAAAGAAAGACCATTTGAGTCCTTATCTTAGGGTTCATTTCCCTAACATCAACTTAACTGACCTTTTCTGCTTGACTCAGACATATACTAGTTATTGCAAATAAGGGAAACCATGGGACCTGTTTCTTTCGGCCTGGCTTACTTCACTTAATAGAATTTTTTCCAAGTCTTTCCATTTCCTAACAAATGGGGCAATGTCATTCTTTTTGATGGAGGCATAGAATTCCATTGTGTATACATACCACATTTTCTTGATCCATTCATCTACTGAGGGGCATCAGGGTTGCTTCCATATCTTAGCTATGGCACATAATCGGAAGCTTCCTTTCTTTTTGCATGCGGCAGCACTTTTGTGTAAGGCTGTGACTGGACTCTCCATCCACTGAGGCGTCCTCACGCTTTTTCTGTTCTGGGCAGGTGGCCCTGCCCCTGGCCCTGGTGTGGGAGACCCAGTCCAGCCTGCTGTCCCCGGGCCACACACATGTGAGCACCTATCATATGGCTGGCAGGAGGAGGCTGGCACGGAGCTGGGGCTCGGCGATTGCCGCCGTCTCTGGCCTGGTCTGTCCAGGCACGTCCTCGCCGATGCCCATCTTTCCTCAGCCCCCAGCTTCAGACGTTGCGTGTTTCCCCTGCCCCAGAGACGGGAGCCGGGCGAGGTGCCCTGTCAGGGGTGAAGGGGCCATGTCAAATGAGCGGTCCTCTGCCAACGTCCACTCGTGTCCCTACAACCCCGGTACCTGCTCCCCAGGGCATTCTGTGTAGGAAGGTGAGCAAAGGGTCAGTCTGGAGGCCTGGGGGCCCCATGGAGGCGCTGGGGCCGCGGCCCGGCTGGCTGCTCACCAGGATCTCTTGGTTGTGGCCAGCCTGGCACACTAGTGACGCTCCCTGTCCTGCCTCCCCCTGCCAGGCCCAGCTGATTCACGACAGGAACACTGCGTCCCATGCCACGGCGGCCGCCAGGACCCAGGCCCCCGCTGCCCCCGACAGAGTGCAGATGACCTGGACGAAGGAGAAGCTGACTGCGGAGAAGCACAGGAACAAGGACGTGGGCGCATCTGGGTTCAAAGACCTCTTCAGCCTGAAGCCGTGAGTGGCCAGCGGGGATCCTTCGGGGACAGCCTGGAAGAGCGGACCTGCCCGTTAGGGCCAGCTGCGGTGGGGACAGGCCCTGACTGCCCACAGGGGGCTTTGGGGCGGCTCATCAACCAGTAGGCCCATTGGAATGGGAGTCAGCCTGAAGGTGCTGTCGACTTGGTGCCAGTGCCTTAGGACAGTGCTGTGCACTGGTGGTGAGCGTTGCGTAGTTGAGGGGACAAGTGGAGTCTGGTCACCTCTGAAGGCTGAGGCTTCGAGGCCAACTCCGCTCCCAGCCCTTCCTGGCTGTGCCCTGGGTGTAGTGCTGAGGAGGCCCGAGGCTGTTACGGTCTGGCTACCCTGAGCTACGGGCCATGGACGGACCTGATCCCGCTGACCGAGCCCCAGAGGGCTGCAGCGGCTCCTCAACAGGGGGCTGACCCTGAAGGCCTGAAATCCTGGGGGGCTGTTGGAGTGGGCCCCAAGAGAAGAGCAGTGGTCAGCCATGTATGTCTGGTGTGCAGTGGGATGTGTGGCCTTGGGACTAACCACTCTGTTCTTCTCTTCCGTGTAGAGAATGGGGAAACCTGTAAGTCCACCTGCATCGCTGAGCTGCCCCCTAGCCTTGTTGCTGTGCGTGCCTTTCTGTGTACAACCCTGTGCCTATCAGCCCTATGTGTGTTCAGCTCTCTAGATGCACATCCCTGTGCATGCACAACTCTGCGCATGGCCTTGTCTGTGCATATCCTTGTGTGTGGTCCTGTGTGTGTGTGCAGCCTTGCGTGTGTGGACTGTATGTGTGTGCAGCACTGCCTGTGCAGCTGAGTGTGCACAGCTGTGTGCATTAGCTCTGAGTGTGCACAGCTCTGTGTGTGCATAGCTCTGAGTGTGCACAGCTATGTGCATTAGCTCTGTGTGTGCACAGCTCTGAGTGTGCACGGCTGTGTGTGCATAGCTCTGAGTGTGCATAGCTCTGTGTGCACATAGCTCTGAGTGTGCACAGCTCTGTGTGCGCATAGCTGAGTGTGCACAGCTCTGTGTGCACATAGCTCTGAGTGTGCACAGCTCTGTGTGCATAGCTCTGAGTGTACATAGCTCTGAATGTGCATAGTTCTGTGTGCACATAGCTCTGAGTGTGCATTGCTCTGAGTGTGCATAGTTCTGTGTGTGCATAGCTGAGTATGCATAATTCTGTGTGCGCATAGCTCTGAGTGAGCACGGCTCTGTGTGCACAGCTCTGTGTGTGCATAGCTCTGAGTGTGCACAGCTCTGTGTGCATAGCTGAGTGTGCACAGCTGTGTGCACATAGCTCTGAGTGTGCATAATTCTGTGTGTGCATAGCTCTGAGTGTGCACAGCGCTGTGTGCATAGCTCTGAGTGCACAGCTCTGTGTGTGCATAGCTGAGTGTGCACAGCTCTGTGTGTGCATAGCTCTGAGTGCACAGCTCTGTGCATAGCTCTGAGTGTGCATAGTTCTGTGTGTGTATAGCTCTGAGTGTGCACAGCTCTGTGTGTGCATAGCTCTGAGTGTGCACAGCTCTGTGCATAGCTCTGAGTGTGCATAATTCTGTGTGTGCATAGCTCTGAGTGTGCACAGCTCTGTGTGTGCATAGCTGAGTGTGCACAGCTCTGTGCATAGCTCTGAGTGTGCACAGCTCTGTATGTGCATAGCTCTGAGTGTGCACAGCTCTGTGTGTGCATAGCTCTGAGTGTGCACAGCTGTGTTGCATTGCTCTGAGTGTGCACAGCTCTGTGTGCATTGCTCTGAGTGTGCACAGCTCTGTGTGTGCATTGCTCTGAGTGTGCACAGCTCTGTGTGTGCATTGCTCTGAGTGTGCACAGCTCTGTGCATAGCTCTGAGTGCATAGTTCTGTGTGTGCATAGCTGAGTGTGCATAATTCTGTGTGCGCATAGCTCTGAGTGTGCATAATTCTGTGTGCGCATAGCTCTGAGTGTGCACAGCTCTGTGTGCATAGCTCTGAGTGTGCATAGTTCTGTGTGCGCATAGCTCTGAGTGTGCATAATTCTGTGTGCGCATAGCTCTGAGTGAGCACAGCTCTGAGTGTGCACAGCTCTGTGCATAGCTGAGTGTGCATAGCTCTGAGTGTGCACAGCTGTGTGCGCATAGCTCTGAGTGAGCACAGCTCTGAGTGTGCATAGCTCTGAGTGTGCATAGTTCTGTGCACCCTGTACATGTGTAGTGTCCCGTTTGTCCTGCTCCTTCGTCTTGAAGTGGCCCAGGGTGTGTATGATGCTCTAAGATAACATCCTCAGCTGCTCTGCCAGGAAGCAGGCAAGGAATATGCCCACCCACGGCCCTCGGGCACAGCACACTACCTCTGCCACCTCCAGTGGAAAGGGGGAGGGTCACGTCTCGATGTCAGCATCTGAGCTCAGGGCTGGGAGTCCCGGCCGGGGTGTCTCAAGGGCGGTGTGGCTCCCGGGCAGACGTGAAGACAGCATTGCCTGCCCTGGGCCCTCTGTCCATCTCTTTCCCCTCCCTGGCCTGCTGGCTATCAAGCAGGCGGCCACCAGGGCATTGTTGGAGTTGGGTACTTGTGACTTCATGACTCACTCACACTGAGAAAACCCCAAGAAGTTTGGCCCATCTGGGGTCTGAGGAATCTGTTGCATGCAGGAGCTCTGCTTTCTGCTCTTCTCTGTAAATCGGAGCATGCTCCCAAAGGGTTTATTAACTGAAAAACCACAGAAGAGAGGCCCAGGTAGACACAGAACACACACACGCATCGGTGTGGACATGCCCGCACGTCGGTGTGGCAGCGTCTGGGCTTGACTGGTGTGGCTCAGGAGGCCAGAGACCAGCCGCTAGCTCAGGAGGCCAGAGACCAGACGTTAGCTCAGGAGGCCCAGAGACCAGACGCTAGCTCAGGAGGCCAGAGACCAGACGGTAGCTCAGGAGGCCAGAGGCCAGACGCTAGCTCAGGAGGCCAGAGACCAGACGCTAGCTCAGGAGGCCAGAGACCAGACGCTAGCTCAGGAGGCCAGAGACCAGACACTAGCTCAGGAGGCCCAGAGACCAGACGCTAGCTCAGGAGGCCCAGAGACCAGACGCTAGCTCAGGAGGCCCAGAGACCAGACGCTAGCTCAGGAGGCCCAGAGACCAGACGCTAGCTCAGGAGGCCAGAGACCAGACGCTAGCTCAGGAGGCCAGAGACCAGACGCTAGCTCAGGAGGCCCAGAGGCCAGACGCTAGCTCAGGAGGCCAGAGACCAGACGCTAGCTGGTGAGGTGTGCTTCCTGCTTCTTCACAGGGCCTGTGCATGCGCTTCCTCACACTTGTGTATCCTGGCTGGTGTGCATGTTTTGCTGGGCTGCCTGGCTGTGCCGGTGCGTCAGGCAGGCAGCACCCACGGCAGACATCCCAGAGTGGCTTTCTGAGCACGTTTTATACGATTTCCCTGGCTTCCGGGAGGCGGAGTGTGCCCACCTGCTGGAAGACGTGGAGCCATACACAAGGAGGTTGGGCCTCTGTCCCCAGGGTGGCGGAGCACTGTGTGTAGTGAGTACAGGTGTTCAGCATTACCTCACTTAAGTGGTTGGGGCAGACGCCCAGCACACTGAAAGCCCAGAGCACACCGTGTAGGGCGGCAGGGACGCTGCTCCGCGGGCTGCAGAGCACACCGTGTAGGGCGGCAGGGACGCTGCTCTGTAGGCTGCAGAGCACACAGTGTAGGTCAGCAGGGACGCTGCTCTGTGGGCTGCAGAGCACACAGTGTAGGTCAGCAGGGACGCTGCTCCACAGGCTGCAGAGCACACAGTGTAGGTCAGCAGGGACGCTGCTCCACAGGCTGCAGAGCACACAGTGTAGGTCAGCAGGGACGCTGCTCCACAGGCTGCAGAGCACACAGTGTAGGTCAGCAGGGACGCTGCTCCACAGGCTGCAGAGCACACAGTGTAGGTCAGCAGGGACGCTGCTCTGTGGGCTGCAGAGCACACAGTGTAGGTCAGCAGGGACGCTGCTCTGTGGGCTGCAGAGCACACAGTGTAGGTCAGCAGGGACGCTGCTCCACAGGCTGCAGAGCACACAGTGTAGGTCAGTAGGGACGCTGCTCCACAGGCTGCAGAGCACACAGTGTAGGTCAGTAGGGACGCTGCTCCACAGGCTGCAGAGCACACAGTGTAGGTCAGCAGGGACGCTGCTCTGTGGGCTGCAGAGCACACAGTGTAGGTCAGCAGGGACGCTGCTCTGTGGGCTGCAGAGCACACAGTGTAGGTCAGTAGGGACGCTGCTCTGTGGGCTGCAGAGCACACAGTGTAGGTCAGCAGGGACGCTGCTCTGTGGGCTGCAGAGCACACAGTGTAGGTCAGCAGGGACGCTGCTCCACAGGCTGCAGAGCACACAGTGTAGGTCAGCAGGGACGCTGCTCCACGGGCTGCAGAGCACACAGTGTAGGTCAGCAGGGACGCTGCTCCACAGGCTGCAGAGCACACAGTGTAGGTCAGCAGGGACGCTGCTCTGTGGGCTGCAGAGCACACAGTGTAGGTCAGCAGGGACGCTGCTCCACAGGCTGCAGAGCACAGTGTAGGTCAGGAGGGACGCTGCTCTGCAGGCTGCAGAGCACACAGTGTAGGTCAGCAGGGACGCTGCTCCACAGGCTGCAGAGCACACAGTGTAGGTCAGCAGGGACGCTGCTCTGTGGGCTGCAGAGCACACAGTGTAGGTCAGCAGGGACGCTGCTCTGTGGGCTGCAGAGCACACAGTGTAGGTCAGTAGGGACGCTGCTCCACAGGCTGCAGAGCACACAGTGTAGGTCATCAGGGACGCTGCTCTGTGGGCTGCAGAGCACACAGTGTAGGTCAGCAGGGACGCTGCTCTGTGGGCTGCAGAGCACACAGTGTAGGTCAGCAGGGACGCTGCTCCACAGGCTGCAGAGCACACAGTGTAGGTCAGCAGGGACGCTGCTCCACAGGCTGCAGAGCACACAGTGTAGGTCAGCAGGGACGCTGCTCCACAGGCTGCAGAGCACACAGTGTAGGTCAGCAGGGACGCTGCTCTGTGGGCTGCAGAGCACACAGTGTAGGTCAGCAGGGACGCTGCTCCACAGGCTGCAGAGCACACAGTGTAGGTCAGCAGGGCGCTGCTCCACAGGCTGCAGAGCACACAGTGTAGGTCAGCAGGGACGCTGCTCCACAGGCTGCAGAGCACACAGTGTAGGTCAGCAGGGACCCTGCTCCACAGGCTGCAGAGCACACAGTGTAGGTCAGCAGGGACGCTGCTCTGTGGGCTGCAGAGCACACAGTGTAGGTGAGTAGGGACGCTGCTCCACAGGCTGCAGAGCACACAGTGTAGGTCAGCAGGGACGCTGCTCCACGGGCTGCAGAGCACACAGTGTAGGTCAGCAGGGACGCTGCTCCACAGGCTGCAGAGCACACAGTGTAGGTCAGCAGGGACGCTGCTCTGTGGGCTGCAGAGCACACAGTGTAGGTCAGCAGGGACGCTGCTCTGTGGGCTGCAGAGCACACAGTGTAGGTCAGCAGGGACGCTGCTCCACGGGCTGCAGAGCACACAGTGTAGGTCAGCAGGGACGCTGCTCCACAGGCTGCAGAGCACACAGTGTAGGTCAGCAG